CTTTTTATTACAAAGTTGTTAATTTTTAATTTTTCTAATTTTCACAACTAGGGTGCAAGCAGTTTGTCAAAACTACTTTTAGAAAGATTCAGTTTTAAATTTTAACAATCTAAAAACCTTGAAACTAACCTAAATGACTTCGCAATTTAAAATTCAGTAAAACCCCCAACATGGGTTCATTTTACTTTTACCTTCAAGACAAATCCTAGATTTGCAGGGCGTGTAGAATATTTCAGGGTGTTCAGAACATTTCAGGGTGTTTAGAATATTTCAGGGTGTTTAGAATATTTCAGGGTGTTTAGAATATTTCAGGGTGTTTAGAATATTTCAGGGTGTTTAGAATATTTCAGGGTATTTAGAATATTTCAGAGTGTTTAGAATATTTCAGGGTGTTTAGAATATTTCAGGGCGTGTAGAATATTTCAGGGTGTTTAGAATATTTCAGAGTGTTAAGAATATTTCAGAGTATTCAGATTATTTCAGGGTGTTTGGAATATTTCAGGGTATTCAGAATATTTCAGGGTGTTTAGAATATTTCAGGGTGTTTAGAATATTTCAGGGTGTTTAGAATATTTCAGGGTGTTTAGAATATTTCAGAGTGTTAAGAATATTTCAGAGTGTTAAGAATATTTCAGGGTGTTTAGAATATTTCAGGTTGTTTAGAATATTTCAGGATGTTTAGAATATTTCAGGGTGTTCAGATTATTTCAGGGTGTTTAGAATATTTCAGAGTGTTCAGAATATTATAGGGTGTTCAGAATATTTCTGGGTGCTCAGAATATTTCAGGGTGTTCAGAATATTTCAGGGTGTACAGAATATTTCAGGGTGCTTAGAATATTTCAGGGTGTTCAGAATATTTTAGGGTGTTTAGAATATTTCAGAGTGTACGATATATTTCAGGGTGTTCAGAATATTTCAGGGTGTGTAGATTATTTTAAGTAGAATAAAATATCACGGGAAAGGTTCAGATAACATGTTTTTTATCGTAGAATATTTTAAAATCTATTTTTAAATACAAAATAAAGATTTTTCTTACTTCTCTCATCCTTACAAAACTTCTTCTATTTTTTTTCATTCTTCTTTCCTTCGTATTTCTTCTTCCTCCTTTATTTTTGACCTTTTCCTCTTACATATCCTTTTCATTCTTTTATCCTTCTCTTCTTTTTCTTCTGTTTCTCCTCCCTCTATTGTTTCTAATCCATATACTCTTTGCTTCCTCCTCCTTCTTCTCTCTAACCCTGCACCTCCTTCGCCTCCTTTTCCTCCTTTTCCTCCTTCTCCTCCGTTTCATCCATCTTCTCCTCCTTCTCCTTCTTTTCCTCCTTCTCCTCCTTCTCCTCCTTCTCCTCCTCCTCTTCCTTTTCCTCCTTCTCCTCCTTCTCCTCCTTCTCCTTCTTCTCCTCCTTCTCCTCCTTCTCCTCCTTCTCCTCCTTCTCCTCCTTCTCCTCCTTCTCCTCCATCTCCTCCTTCTCCTCCTTCTCCTCTTTCTCCTCCTTCTCCTCCTTCTCCTCCTTCTCCTCCTTTTCCTCCTTTTTCTCCTTCTTCTCCTTTTCATCCTTCTCCTACTCCTTCTCCTCCGTTAGTTCGCAATTTCTTCTCCTGTAACTCCCCTTTCTCTTTCTTTTTATTTCCCCTCTTTATTCCTGGTGTCAGCAAGATCAAATTCCATTGAGTTTAAAACTAAAATTCCTTTTGACCATTTGAATCCTGAAAGGTTAGTTTGAGTAAACTAAAATATGAATATTTTCCGCTGAAAACCAATAAACTGAAACTGAGTTGTAATATCGAAGATTGGGCCAATTTTTGGAATAATGAATCATGAATGTCAAATTTCTATGTAATCCGGTTCCCCCTTTTCCTCAATAAAAGCCCTTAAAGAAAGTGTTGAAATACTTGAAAACTATCTTATCAAGTAATCTTTTCTTATTTACTGTCAATTTATATACAACGTACCTCACAACTCTCTATACTCTACATAAATTGGTCTTGAAATATAATTAATTATATTCTAAAAATATTTTTATCTATATTTCAAGAAATTAAACTTGGTTTTACTAAACAGACGGGTATCTGAAAATAAAAATAGTTATGTAGAGTTATTATGATGGGGATCCTAAGTGGATTAACTTTAACATCAGGATAAAGGAATTGAATCTTTGCAACAAACTCAAATATTATAATCCCTATATCTTTGCAACTTGTTGGTGTAAACCTTTGATCCAACATAATTTTATTTTTCTGCACTGAGAACCAGAAAACAATTTAATTCTCTTCGTATTATTTATTATTTTTATTGTGAAAATGGGTTTTATAATTTCTTACTATATAGTTTCTAAATATAAGACCAAATTGTTTAATTTTCATTATAAAACATGTAGGTATAAGAACTTTTTATTTTAAAATATTGAACAGATGTATAGAAAATATAACTTGGACCATCTATTCACCTTTTGTACATGCATATTGTAAAACATATCTATTATGGATTCCAGGGGGAACTAGAGTTTTTACAAGTTTTGATGGACGGAAAAAGTAAACTTTTTTGAAGTTACATACTTACTCAGATAAAAGGTTTTTTGTGTTATAATGGAAGGGAGGAGTAAGGTTTCCTAGAGTAAACATATAGAGACGAGAGGAATATGTTTATTAACTGAGAATTGGGGGAATTCATCAGGAGAACAGAACTGAAGAACAGGGTTGGAGAGTTGGAATGTAAGGAACAGGGTTGAAATATAAAGAACAGAGTTGGAATACAAAGAACGGGGTAGCAATATAAAAAAACAGGGTTGGAATATAAAGAAGAAGGTTTTAATATAAAGAACAGGGTTGGAATATAAAAAACAGGGTTGGAATATCAGGAACAGGATTGGAAATAAAGAACAGAGTTGAAATATAAAGAACAGGGTTGAAATATAAAGAACAGGGTTGGAATATAAAGAACAGGGTTGAAATATGAAGAACAGGGTTGGAATATAAAGAACAGGGTTGGAATATCAAGAACAGGATTGGAATATAAAGAACAGGGTTGGAATATAAAGAACAGGGTTGGAATAAAAAGAACAGGGTTAGAATATAAAAAACAGAGTTGGAATATAAAGAACAGGGTTGAAATATAAAGAACAGGGTTGGAATATCCAGAACAGGATTGGAATATAAAGAACAGGGTTGAAATATAAAGAACAGGGTTAGAATATAAAGAACAGGGTTGGAATATAAAGAACAGGGTTGAAATAAAAAGAACAGGGTTAGAATATAAAGAACAGGGTTGGAACATAAAGAACAGGATTGAAATATAAAGAACATGGTTGGAAAATAAAGAACAGGTTTTCCGGAGACTGAATATTTATTCAGTTTTACATCAAATCCATTAGAAGCGGATACAGGGAGTATATATTCAAGATAACATCAGTTCTTCAGAAAATATTAGTCATTTTCATTTATATATTTATATATTTATATATTTATATTTAAATATTTAATAGTTATTGATTTCACCAGTATTTGTGGTGGCTTAGGAAATAAATTTCATCTTAGAATTTATTCAGAATTCATGTTATAAATTCAAATTCAAAAGGTTGATATAAAAAAGTGTTTTTTTAACGTATATTCTTAATCCTTTGGATTTTTTTTCCACCTTACATATTTTAATTAAAATTTGATTGACTGAGCAACAAGGAAGAATTTCATCAGGGTAAAGATATTGAGGTAAAAGTTTTATATTGCTATAAAAATACTCGCTCTTCCTCTTTAAAAAAATCCTTATGTAAAGGAATAAAAAAATATGGAGAAAAAAAATTGTGCAAGAATAAATGATGTAATTAAAAAATGAAAAAAATTGAACTGCAAAGATCCAAAATAGAAAGCTTCTGAAGCAATTGTTTTACAAAAAATTTTAGTTTTGAAATTTGGTAAAAAAAACGGTTATATACAGCTTATCTTTCTTTTATCTTTATTTAATCTTTCTTTTATCTTTCTTTTATCTTTCTTTTATCTTTCTTTTATCTTTCTTTTATCTTTCTTTTATCTTTCTTTTATCTTTCTTTTATCTTTCTTTTATCTTTCTTTTATCTTTCTTTTATCTTTCTTTTATCTTTCTTTTATCTTTCTTTTATCTTTCTTTTATCTTTCTTTTATCTTTCTTTTATCTTTCTTTTATCTTTCTTTTATCTTTCTTTTATCTTTCTTTTATCTTTCTTTTATCTTTCTTTNCACTCTACACTCTACACTCTACACTCTACACTCTACACTCTACACTCTACACTCTACACTCTACACTCTACACTCTACACTCTACACAATACACACTATACTCTACATATATATATTTATTTTAGTGTTATCAATTTGATATATCCTATCTTTAATCTATTGTATGGTGATGTATACGAAATAAATCTAAATAAAGCTCTTCGCTCATATGTATATGAACCAAATTGGCTGAATCGTTTTGAGGGAACTTATAGGTACAAGGGTGTCATTAGGTAACATCCAATAAAATCACTGTAAAAAAGTCCTAATTTCTGTCACTAAATAATTCCTGAGAAAAAAAGTAATGGAAATGTGTTCTGCAAATTATTTTGAATGAAATAAAATCATGGTTTCATCCATGAACGTCACAGGGAAAAAGTTAAAGACAATTAGTAAAGCCCACTGAAAGGGGTGAATATTTTTAATAAATAAACTCAAATCAACTTCATTATTTAGAAACTTGTTGATGCTGCACTTCTTATTTATTTATCTGACTTTTTTCCAGGGATTTTTTTAATTAGAATTTATTTTCTTTCTCATGACTTGCTTAGATGGATTCGTGAAATATACACAAATTCGAAAATGGTTTTATAATCTGTGCTGCAATTGTTGTCATTTCTATTTCTAACGTCCTATCTGTGCATTCTATGAATATCTCCTATTTGATAGATCAATCAATATTTCTTAATTAAAGCGTTTGATTCCAAAGTTTTTTCTTCATTTTTTCGTTATTACTTTTAGTGTGAAAGTTTCAGATATAAATGCTGAAGAAGAAGTATCTAGTCTTAAAAAGATTACACTCTCCTTAGCTTGAATCCTTGCTCTAGGCAAGACTAGTTAGCCTAAGGAATTCAACCAACTAACTTTACTCCGTACTTGGAATCTAACCCTGTTAGTTCTTAGAATAGTTTTACATTCCTCCCTTGACATGTCTTGGAGAGAGTTCAATACTGAAGAAAAAACTACAAGAGAAGAATATAAGAATAATACTAGTGAGTGATATGTATCTGTAATATAATTGTGACAGTGTAAAGATCCTGTAGTGTTCTAATCCTAGTATGGACATGAGTGAACTAGCCTGATATCCTGGGATGAGTGGAATGAGAATATTTCTGATTCTGCTACTGCTGGTTAGCGGAGCTCCGGCCAACTCAATTATTCAAGGTAGAATTATAGACTGGTATATAAACTAGTACACTAGTAGATAAACTAGTAGACTTGTAGATAAACTAGTAGACTGGTAGATAAACTAGTAGACTGGTAGATAAACTAGTAGACTGGTAGATAAACTAGTAGACTGGTAAATAAACTAGTATACTGGTAGATAAACTAGTAGACTAGGTGATAAACTAATAGACTGGTAGATAAAATAGTAGACTGATGGATAAACTAGTAGACTAGTAGATAAACTAGTAGACTGGTAGATAAATAGACTGGTAGATAAACTAGTAGTCTGGTAGATAAACTAATAGACTAGTAGATAAACTAGTAGACTAGTAGATAAACTAGTAGACTGGTAGATAAACTAGTAGACTTGTAGATAAACTAATAGACTGGTAGATAAACTAGTAGACTGATAGATAAACTAGTAGACTGGTAGATAAACTTGAGTTGAGATAAGTCAGGGCCTTCATATAGAGTGACATGTCTGATTTACAACGATACCCTTACAAGCTTTGTCTGATCAACATTGAAATAGATATCCATGTTTATAACTTTGTAAACTGGTTATTTTCAATTGTGGTTTCTCTCCAAAAGAGACTTGGATTTTCCGAACTAGAAAATGACATTATCTACAATATTGATTAGATAAAGGTTTGCAGGACACCGTTGTGAATCGACATGCATGATCTCTAAACGGATGGTCAGAACAGACAGGTAGACTTGTAGATTTAAGCAATAAGCAAAAAAATGACATAAGAATAATATGATCAACTTTATCTCATATGCAAAATATTAAGAATTGTTTAAGTTAAAAAAAAATTTATTTAGAAAGCACAACTTCATATCATGTCCTGTATTTGCTGGTTATTGCTTTCTGCCTGGTAGTGTTTGGGCAAATGATGCGAGGAGAATAATAATTTTATTGGAGAAAGATCTAGGTTTAGTTCTGTTTGCTCCTGGTGCTCCCGTCAATAGGAATCCACTCATGGTTTAGATGAAACACGGAGAAGAGTTACATTTTGAGGGTTTCTCTTATCATCTTGAGCAATGTTATGTCCAATATCTGTTTTAATAAGTCAGTATACCAGGTTAATATTTCTGCATGCAAAGGAAAAGTATTAAAAAAAACATAAATTCTTCTATTTTGTTAAATTGTTCTCACAGAATTTTCCGATGTTAAGGTTTTGTGATAGAAACAGTAATGATTATTCGCTGAAGGAAAATGTTCAGATCAATCCAGAGAAAGTTCGATTTAATTTTCCTTTGAACATCTTATTTGATTATTTAAGAACACGGACTTCTCAATGATTTATATATTTTATTTATTTAGATCATTTGAAACAAACAACCCTTTTCCTACAGATCAAAAGTACTGCTCCAAGTTTTTCAAGACTTTTAAAGATAATCTTGTCCTGGTCCATTGTTTAAACTTTGATAAAATTTTATCAACCCACAGTTTACTCTTTAACAGAAGTGTACCGGCCCATCAATAGAATTGTGCTGGCCCACCCTTTAACCATTAATAGAATTGTACCGGCCCACCACTTAACCATTAATAGAATTGTACCGGCCCACACTTTAACCATAAATAGAATTGTACCGTCCCACGGTTTAACCATTAATATAATTGTACCTGCCCACCATTTAACTATTAATAGAATTGTACCGGCCCACCATTTAACCATTAAGAGAATTGTACTGGCCCACACTTTAACCATTAATAGAATTGTACCGGCCCACACTTTAACCATTAATAGAATTGTACCGGCCCACGGTTTAACCATTAATATAATTGTACCTGCCCACCATTTCACTATTAATAGAATTGTATCTGCCCATTGTTTAACCATTAAGAGAATTGTACTGGCCTACATTTTTACCATTAATAGAATTGTACCGGCCCACCGTTTATTAACCATTAACAGAATTGTACCGGCCACCGTTTAACCATTGACAGAATAGTACTGACCCACCCTTTAACCATTAATAGAATTGTACCAGCCAACCGTTTAACTATTAATAGAATTGTACCGGCCCACTCTTTAACCATTAACAGAATTGTACTGTCCCACCGTTTTATTATTAATAGAATTGTACTGGTCAACTGTTTAACCTTTAAAAGAATTGAAACGACCCAGCATTTAGCCTTCAATAGAATCGTACCGGTCCACTTTTAAACCTTTAAAATAATTTTATCGGCCCATTGTTTTACCTTTTAATATAATTGTACCGGCCCACCATTTAACTATTGATATAATTGTACCGGCCCACCATTTAACTCTTGATATAATTGTACCGGCCCAAAGTTTTTCAACAAACTCTGATTTTATAACCCTTATATCTTTGTAACCATATGTTGAAGACCTTTGATAGTTTAAACTTTACGTATTCTGTTAGATCCAATAGCCCATGCTTTAAAAACCTACGTTTTGCACCATAACGTTGCAAAGATATAGGAATGATAAAAATTAAGTTTGTTGCAAAAACTTAGTTTCTTTTTACTGAATTTATGTTTGTTGGTGACTTATTGTTTTATTTATTCATTATTAGTAGATAAATTATCTTTTATAGAACAATCTAGAAGTTGGAAACTAAAAATGATAATTTGAACAATTCTTTTAATTTTATTTCTTAGCAATTTGATGATGTATTTAATCTAACAGAATTCAAAGTTGCAAATATCTGAGGTCTACAACATTGGGTTGAAAAGATAAAAGGATCAGAAAATCAGTGCTTGGGGTGTTCTTGATCATACAAAGCTGGTTTGAAAGGTTTGTGAATTGAACATGACACTATTGAAATGGAGGTTCTTTCGAAATTACGTATACAGTCCCTTTCAGGTATTTATTACTTGTCAAAGTTTTGTCTGTCATGATAAAACCTAATAAACCTGGCTTCGTTTTTGTTCTTTGGCTTTAACTAAAATAGTATGATTTCACAAAAGTTTTGTCTGTCATGATAAAACCTAATAAACCTGTAGCCGAATTTAAAGAATTTGAGCGGCGGTTTAAATTTAAGCCGCGGTTTGGATATGGTTGGTTTCACTTAAAATTGTATCAAATGTTTCAAGATTTAAGCCGGCGCTTAATTTTAACCGGGTTTTGGCGGATTTAAACCGCGGCTCAAATTCTTTAAATTCCATCTCTGGCTTTTTTTTTGTTCTTTAGCTTTAACTAAAATAGTATGATTTCACAAAAGTTGTTTGTGGACTTCTACAATTTATAGATTGTATTTTTTATTGTCTTTATTTCAATGTGGGTTAAGCATAAGCATGTTACCTGAACAATTGTAACTTTAGACTCAGTGTTATTCAAACAAAATGGTATCTTAATAAAATTTGATTCTAAACGTTATGAATAACTGGGCATTCGTAAAATTAGGCATATTGTTATCCAGGCATTATGAAATGTTAAGATAGTGTTAACCCTAAAAAGACTAGGGGGTCTGCATCTATGTATAGCCCCCCCCCAAAAAAAAGGCTTTGGAGTGAAGGTATGGAGGTGGAATACATGATCATGACCTAATTTTCCAAAACCAGCTCATTTAAGAAAAACTAGACCTCCCACTAAGTTGTCGGAAAAAATTGGAAAAAGTATGTCGGAAAAATTAAAAAAGAGTCTTGCTAGGTATGTAGGTTTAGTGGTCCAGAGGAGCAAAGGGGAAAGAGGGATCTAGGTTGTAGGTTTAGTGGTATTTTGGAGTAAAGAGGGTTGGGGAGGGGTCTAGATTTGTAGGTTTAGTGATGTGTTAGGTGAGTGAAGGAAAGGGGGCTAGGCTTTTAGGTTTAGTGTTGTAAGGGAGTAAAGGGGTGGAGGGTTAGGTTGGTAAACCTAACGCTCCACCCTTTTACTCCCCATACACCACTAAACCTAAAAACCCCTCCACTACCCCCTTTACTTCCCTACACCAATAAACCTGCAAACCCTTCCCTTTACTCCCCTACATATAGTATAGAGGAGGGGGGTAGGTTTGTAGGTTTAGCGGTGTAGGGGGATAAAAAAGGGGGGGGGAAAGGTTTGTAGGTTTAGTTGTGAAGGGGAGTAAAGGGGTGTGGGGTTAGGTTTAGGTTTAGTTGTCCAGAGGAACAAATGGGGAATGGGTCTAGGTTTGTAGGTTAGTGGTGTTATAGGGGAGTATAGGGGAGGGGTTTGTAGGTTTAGTGGAATAGGGGAGTATAGGGGAGGGGTTTGTAGGTTTAGTGGTGTAGGGGAGTAAAGGGGAGTATAGGGGAGGGGTTTATAGGTTTAGTGGTGTAGGGGAGTGCTTCAATAAATCCCTAAGGTTTATCTCCAAACTAACTTTCCCTCTTTCTTAGAGAAAATATAAATTTTTAACCAGGGAAGGAAAAGAAAAGAAATACTTAGTCATTGTTTTCATTCCAAGATTCATCATAGAAATATTATTTATTTACATAACAATATTTGCAAATATTAGTATTTTATATTAAACATGAAATCTATCCAGGATTTTAGAACCAAAAATTAAACTCTATGAGAGAAGATTGGGTTGGAAAATAAAGACTCGCCTATAAATAAATCAAGACATCTTTCTAAAACTTTGACGGTTATTGTGAAGGCTTTTACCATTTGTTTGATCATCCATGGCCCTTCCGCCCTTTTTTAAAATGTAGAAAATTTTAAAAAATATTTGTTTAATTTGCTAAATATTTGTATCAACTTATCAATCATTAGAAATTTGAACCCTAGAGGGATACCGTGATAATAGAAAATATATAGGTGTGCGCTGAGGACTGATCCACCTGGAAAATGGTTTAGATTTATATTGATTACAACGATACAGAGATGCACGTTTTAACGAGATTTTTTTACCAACGATGGATACTTTTAAATCTATGAAGAACAAGAGATTAAAGAACAAGTTAATTTAACCAATTTTAAAACTGTCAAATGAGTTGTAAAACCATTGAAACCCAAATTCAATAAAAAACTTTCTAATTTAACTCACTTAAAAGTTTGAAGTATGGAAGTATTCAATGAAAACTGTGTTGTTAAACAAAATAACTGCTTTTTTTATAAATACTAGGTTTGTAGGCACCCCTTTTATAGTATTAATTTGATCTTTTAATTGTTAATCTCAAGCCACAATTGTACTCGAAATCACTGGGGTCATGTGAGCTGTTACAAATACTTTCAGCCTTTTCGTTTCAGCCGGTTATTGGAGTATCAGGAGAAACTAGATTTTCCGATTTATTGCATGTAAACCCAATTTAATATTCTATAAATCCATCCATATCTAAATAATTATTTTCATTATTTAGATATTGAAAAGTGTTAAAAGTGTCACACTCTTTCATAAATTATACATAATTTAATATGTAGGTATTAAACACAGCAAAGAAAGGCACTCATTGACATGCAATGATATACTCAGAATAAATATTTTCATAATAAAATATTCAATCCTAGTATTTTTATTTTCAGGGTTGAATGTGAGCACAATAGAGGTGATGGAAGGAGGAAGAGTAGATCTCCCCTGTAATATTTCTCCTTTAAGGTAATATTTCCCTTTGAGGTAATATTTCTCCTTAGAGAAGGTAATATTTCTCCCAATAGGTAATATTTCTCCCTTGAGGTAATATTTCTCCCTTGGGGTAATATTTCTCCCTTGAGGTAATATTTCTCCTTTGAGGCAATATTTCTCCCCTATAATATTTCTCCCTTGAGGTAATATTTGACCCCTGTAATATTTCTCCCTTGAGGTATTATTTCTCCCTTGAGGAAATATTTCTCCATCGAGGTAATATTTCTCCCTTGAGGTAATATTTCTCCTTTGAGGTAATATTTCGCCCCCATAATATTTCTCCCTTGAGGTAATATTTCTCCTTTGAGGTAATATTTCTCCTTAGAGAAGGTAATATTTCTCCCAATAGGTAATATTTCTCCCAATAGGTAATATTTCTCCCTATAGAAGGCAATATTTCTCCCTTGAGGTAAAATTTCTCCCTTGAGGTAATATTTCTCCTTTGAGGCAATATTTATCCCATATAATATTTCTCCCTTGAGGTAATATTTGACCCCTGTAATATTTCTCCCTTGAGGTATTATTTTTCCCTTGAGGAAATATTTCTGCATTGAGGTAATATTTCTCCCTTGAGGAAATATTTCTCCATTGAGGTAATATTTCTCCCATGAGGAAATATTTCTCCCTTGAGGTAATATTTCTTCTTTGAGGTAATATTTCGTCCCTATAATATTTCTCCCTTGAGGTATTATTTGACCCCTGTAATATTTCTCCCTTGAGGAAATATTTCTCCATTGAGGTAATATTTCTCCCTTGAGGAAATATTTCTCCATTGAGGTAATATTTCTCCCTTGAGTAATATTTCTCCCTTGAGGTAATATTTCTCCCTTGAGGTAATATTTCTCCCTTGAGGTAATATTTCTCCTTTGAGGTAATATTTCTCCCTTGAGGTAATATTTCTCCCTTGAGGTAATATTTGACCCCAGTTAAATTTCTCCCTTGAGGTAATATTTCTCACTTGAGGTAATATTTCTCCCTTGAGGAAATATTTATCCCTTGACATCTTTCCTCTAAATCAAAATTCTCTCCTAATTTAAACCTATATTTTAAATCTCTCATTTAAAATTTCTTCCCTAAGCTGCGTATTAAATCTCCTCATTAATATTTCTCCCCTGAGATAAACCTACATACTAAATCTTCACTTAACTATTTCTCCCCTAAGCTAAACCTGCATATTAAATCTTCACTTTACTATTTCTCCCCTAAGCTAAACCTGCATATTAAATCTTCACTTTACTATTTCTCCCTTAAGCTAAACCTGCATATTAAATGTTCACTTTACTATTTCTCCCTTAAGCTAAACCTGCATATTAAATCTTCACTTTACTATTTCTCCCCTAAGCTAAACCTACATATTAAATCTTCACTTTACTATTTCTCCCCTAAGCTAAACCTACATATTAAATCTTCACTTAACTATTTCTCCCCTTAGCTGAACCTGCATATTAAATCTCCCATTTAATATTTCTCCCCTAAGCTAAACCTACATATTAAATCTTCACTTAATATTTCTCCCCTAAGCTAAACCTGCATATTAAATCTACACTTTAATATTTCTCCCCTAAGCTAAACCTCTATTACATCTCCCCTGTTATATTTCTCCCCTAAGTTAAACCTATATATTACACCAGCTCTGTGTTGTGTTTAACAGTTTAGAATATTTTCAATAAAAGGTTTGGTTGGTTGTAAAGCTGGTAAGTTTGCTGGTTTGTTTGTTTGCGGTTGTTCACTTATGTGTTTGATGTTTGTTTTCCTCACTAACTCTAGCATCCAGGAGAAATAGTTTAGAATTTTAAATTTTAATACAAAATATTACATATTATATTTTACATAATATTTCTTGAATATAATTGAAATCTCTACACAGTTAAGAAATTGTGCCTTAACCATCAAGAAAGAGCCGCCTTTGAAGTGTCGTCACACCTTGGAAATTGATTTGATCGTACAAAACCACTTTATTGTAATAATCAACAATTTCAAATCATTGGAAACAAGGTTTTAGCTTAATTAATAAGTATTGTTTAGAAATGAAATAAATCAGCTGTCGGCGCGGCGACCTATTTTCGGACTCACTGTCACTGATTGGTCGTCATTAAGCTATAATGTTTGCTTTTAGCCATGGAATAAAGAATAACAAAGTTTTTATTGTCAAGGTTCTAAAGACAGAAAACATTAGACTGATATATGATTGGTATGGCGGCCGTATAGACACAGAAATTCAGATCTTTTGGCTAAAAAGTTTAGATTTGCATGTAGAAATGCACTCGAGACTTTTCTCATTTTCGAGATCTTTTTATCTTCTTGGAATATATATATATATATATATATATATGAATTCATCCAGGATGCTTTCATACAATTTAATCCAATCTTATTCAAGGAGTCAGGAGGGGACGTTTTTTTATGAAAATAGGCCACTGGGGGGAAGAAGAAGGAAAGGAAATGAGAACAATTTATGAGTTTTTCAATATTTTGAAAAATACGATGTGATTGAAAAATAAAATAAAACCATAATAGTATCGTAATGTAAAACAACCGTTTTGAATTTTAATCTAAATTTCTCGCGGCAGTTAATATGAGGGCATTTTCAATTTTTAAAAATTTCACTTTTCCTAAATTTTTCTATTTTTCAGAAGTTCTGACAAAGTGAGTCTAATCCTGTGGTTTAAAGAAGATGAAGGGAAACCTATTTACAGGTGAACAGCACTTGGATTCATCTTTATATTGTTTTAAAAACTCTGCATCTTGCCACGCTACATTTCTTTCATGAAACGGGCTGGGTCGACTCTATACACTGGTCAGAATATCGTACTGTACACACCTATTAAATCAATAGCCTATCCGTCTTTTCAATTTTTTGTACAAGTAAAACATATTTGGAAGCAATTTAAAGTTTAAACCTGAAACAAATGGTATTTCATACCTAAGCTCTTTTATCTGAACATTCCAAATTGCAGACTTGAGAAATTTTAATTAAATCTTAAACCCTGAGACTCGAAAGGCTTCGAAATATCAAACTTGGTAGAAAATATAACAAAAGCTAAGATAATCCATTTTCCTTAAAATTATTCAGGAACCAGAAATAATTAGATTCTTAAATTTTCCTGAATAAACCAATTTTTGACCATGGCACTTTTTTTGTTCTCAGTATTTGATGATTATCTACAAAATAAGAAAATTAGGTTGTTTAATGTTTACAAAAAAATACTACAAATATGCATATAGTCATTTCAAGTTTTAATAATGCAATACTGGGTGGACTCTTCTTAATAAAAAACAGCCATTGTAAAAAATGAAACAATAAACAAAATTATTTACATTTTTGTCCTTCAGACAGCTAGATAAAAGAAAACAGATTGTGTTGAATAAATAAGAAAACCAGAAAACTTGGTAATTGTAAATATTCGTAAAAATAAAAGAATGAATATTAGATGGATATAAATTGTAGACTTGAAAGTTTAAATGACCAAAGTCCAAAATACATTAGTTCAGAAGTTCGGCACATTTCTGCAAGATAAAGCAGGGTTATTCCGAATAAAAACATTCTTGGTTTATGAATTATTTTACGAGAGAAGAAATGAGTTCTCGCCCCACACTTTGATTTTTAATCCCTTTATCTTTGCAACCTGATACGCCGTACAACATTTATTATTTAAAATTTACATTTAGTACATTACTCTGTTACATTGAATAGTCTAAGTTTAAAATATCAAAGGTTTCAGCTACTAGGCTTCAAAGTTATATGCATTAAAAAATTTGGAGTTTGTGAAAATAAAATTTCAAAAAACTTAAATTTTTCACATTTTCGAGAGTTTTCCCCCCTTCAGAAAATTTCCAGTTGCGCCTGAACAGTGGTAAATCCGCTTCTGTTATTGCAGTTTTTTACGATGTAATATTTTGCCATTACTTCATATATAAGGTTTATGCTTAGGGAAATAAACGTTGAAACTGAACTGCTAAAAGTTAGAATAGAAAGTTCTAGATATAAATCAATAAATCAATTTTTAGAATCATCGACAAGTTTACGGTGAATACTAAACCAGGAACGATTATTAATTATTCTTTTTTTTTGTTAAAAACAATGGAAGGAATGTAAACTATTGTACTGCAGTTTCTTGAAGGAATGTAAACTATTGTACTGCAGTTTCTAGAAGGAATGTAAACTATTGTACGAAGGAATGTAAACTATTGTACTGAAGTTTATAGAAGGAATGTAAACTATTGTACTGCAGTTTCTGGAAGGAATGTAAACTATTGTACTGCAGTCTCTGGAAGGAATGTAAACTATTGTACTGCAGTTTCTAGAAGGAATGTAAACTATTGTACCGCAGTTTCTGAAAGTAATGTAAACTATTGTACTGCAGTTTCTGGAAGAAATGTAAACTATTGTACTGCAGTTTCTGCAAGGAATGTAAACTATTGTACTTCAGTTTCTGGAAGGAATGTAAACTATTGTACTGAAATTTCTGCAAGGAATGTTAACTATTGTACTGCATATTCTTGCAGGAATGTAAACTATTGTACTGCAGTTTCTGAAAGGAATGTAAACTATTGTACTGCAGTTTCTGGAAGGAATGTAAACTAGTGTACTGCAGTTTCTGGAAGGAATGTAAATTATTGTACTGCAGTTTCTGCAAGGAATGCAAACTATCGTACTGCAGTTTCTGCAAGGAATGTAAACTATTGTACTGCAGTTTCTGCAAGGAATGTAAACTATTGTACTGCAGTTTCTGCAAGGAATGCAAACTATTGTACTGCAGTTTCTGCAAGGAATGCAAACTATTGTACTGCAGCTTTTGCAAGGAATGCAAACTATTGTAATTGCATTTTCTGGAAGTAATGTAAACTATTATGAAAAATTTGAATAATCTTTTTCATGGTTATTTACATTTGTGTTTTTACCCAGTTTTGTTTTCATGTTTAGGTTTACCCGCTTGATTCTGCTTTTATGTTTTGGATAACTGTAGACAAAGTGAAATATCAGAAATAGATTGATTTTATTTGAAAATTTGAAATTCATCTATTTATTCTATACTAGGGGTAGTATACTATTCATTCTAGGGTTAGTATAGTGGTAATTTAAATGTGAATGTTAATTATTCATTTAAAACCTAATAGGTAATCTAATCTCTAACGACTTTTACATTATATTTTAGTACAGAGTTTTTGTATATTGTGCATATTATCTTTACATATCCATAATTACTTATTACTCTACATAAACATAAAACATATTCATATCAATACTTATCAATAACAAATCATAACATCTCAGTATATTTGCATAAATATAGAAGAAGAAATCATGTTTTTTTCTTTTGCTTTTTATTTATTTCATGGAGAAAGGGCAATTTCATTTTGACTTAAAAATAGTTCATGTTGACTTAAATACAGTTCATGTTGACTTAAATACAGTTTATGTTGACTTAAATACAGTTCATGTTGACTTAAATACAGTTCATGTTGACTTAAATACAGTTCATGTTGACTTAAATACAGTTCAGGTTGACTTAAATACAGTTCATGTTGACTTAAATACAGTTCAGGTTGACTTAAATACAGTTCATGTTGACTTAAATTCAGTTTATGTTGAAATACAGTTCATGTTGACTTAAATACAGTTCATCATGTTGACTTAAATCCAGTTCATGTTGACTTAAATCCAGTTCATGTTGACTTAAATACAGTTCATGTCGACTTAAATATAGTTCATGTTGAAGCCAGGGGTGTATATCCCCCATATACACCCCTGCATACAAATGGAAAAGAAATAAACGGAACTACAAGAAACATTGAAGGCCCGGTCTATACTCTGCCGACTACAAGGAAAAGATTGCTGTAGACGAGGCCGTACTCTGAAGCACTGTGTCTGAGATGAACTTACAAGAATCAAGAATTCTTTTGTCGAAAATATCCACTCCATAGCCTAACCTTTCTTATCCCATTTATCATTACTAATGTGGAATTCTGACAATGGATATCCTCAGAATTTTCTAACTCCGCTTAGTGCACTGACTTTTATTTTTTCAACCCGTAAAAGTATTCAGGACATTGGTTTGAGGCTAACCCTCAACAGTAGTTGAGTCAGACATTCCTTGATCAAAAAACAATACCGAAAACTGGAAATTCATCTGTTATTTACTCACAAACAGTAACTTTCTATTAACTTTATTTGATATTTCTGGCGCCAAGATATCAAATTAAAGAAAAGTATGAACAAGAAAATTGCTAAAATTGCTGGGAAATATGCGGAATATCAGGGAAAAAGAAAGCAGAAATATGTGTCATAATGCAAATCTCTATAAGGGATTAGAATGCGTAAATCTTCAAAAGAGGAGCAGAAAACAGATGTATGATCAGCTAAAAAGAAGTTACAACAGTCGGAGAAAAAACATTCACTGCTCTTTTTTAAAGTTTGTTAAAAAAATTTAATTTAAAAATAAATTGTTAATAAAAAGCTCTTCAAATTGTGTCCAACCTTGACCTTTAAAAAGAAATGCAATTTTAGAATATGCATAACATTTGGAAATTGAAAAAAAATGTTTAGTTTTTTTCTCTTCCAAGTGCAAGTGCTGCATCAAATAAAATCAATGATTTAGGCGCTAAAACTGTTTTTAAAACTATGAATTTTCAAAATATTCAGTATCAGTTGGGTTTTATCTTTTAGCCCATTTTCTGGGATTTCCAAATGATATAAAACATTATTCTAAGTCAAAACTTCGGATTTTAAAAAAGTTCAAAAATGTCCAAAAAATCACGTTTTTATCCGGCTGCACGGGAAAAAATGGTCAAAAAGAATATTTTGTATTTTTCTTAGTTTCATATATATTATATATTATATATCGATTCAAAAGAAAAATTGTACCTCTGAACAATTTTTACAGGGGTGGGGGGGGGTGGGGGGTGTAAGCTTCACGATTGCGACCCTTTCATCGCAAAACACAAAGCAAAGATTAAATCAGAATTTATGGTGTCCGAAGCCTCTCTTTCAAACCACACTTTTATTTAATATTTTGAACTCATTTCTTTATTAAACAGTTTGTATCGCATTTAAAAGCAAAGCTATTTTAATCTTTAGGAAAATAATGCTGGGTATCCTGACTAAACATTAGATTAGATTATTTCTTTCATTAGTAAAGATGGTCTGAACTGGGTTTCTGCGAGGGAGGAACTAATTTATTGATTCAAATAGGTTAAACTATTTTTATGGGTTTTGTTTTTTCAAAAGTTTAAGTTGTATTTATTGATAATATAAATTCAAAGTTTAAAAAGTTTAAATATTGCATTGAATTGAGTGAACTAGATATAAATGCAACCAATAAACGTCAAAACGTCTGAACTGATCGGGCCCATTTTTTGTGATAACTTACATGATCCCAAGGAAAAAGATGGTTAAAGTAAATATTTTTGTTTCGAAAATGCATAAATTTAATAGGAGAAATCCGAGAAAAATCATTTACTTGAAAAGCAACGTTTAGCAGCTAAAACGCCCTAAAAGCCTAGTTCATTTATATATGTCATATACCCTTTTATCTATTTATCATATGAAACTGGAGGATAAAATTTAATTTACTCTGGGTACTAACTAAGGTATTTATTTTTTTAAATCCGAGAAATTTTTTGTGTTTTTTGTTTTGTTTTACAATGTACACAAAAAACACATGTGAGAATCGAAATAGAAAATGGAGCCTAGTATTTATAACTTTTTTTGTCTGTCTGTCTGTTTGTATCCAATAAACGTCAAAACAGCTGAACGGATGGGGCCCAAATTTTGTGTGATACCTCACTGTCTCACATGACCCCATGGGAAGGTTTATGGATACTCAAACTTTAAAAAATATGTGTTAATTTTTTTGTTGTAAAATTTTGAAAATGCGCCATAAAATATTACTAAATCCACGAACTTTTTTTTGTAATTGTTTTTTTGTACAAAGCTATAGAGCCACAATAAAAAGTTGAAATTGAAGATGGGCGTGAAGTGCCTTAAAAGCCTAGTTTAATAGATATGATAATTGCATGACGAGTGAAAACATTTAAATATTGTTTTAGATTCTTAACAGTTAATTAATGAGAAAGTTTGAATGAAATCATGATTTTACGGCACCTACGTTTTCCGTATTCCGTCTTTCAATATTAAAATAATAAAAGATATCTGCACCCTGGACTAAATTCCGTGTAAAATTCAACAACCTATAAACTTACAGAGTCGTTCATTTCTACCTTTTTATTAAAAACGCATCCATCGACAAAAAAAGAATAAAAGAGGGAAAAAAACTTATGTTTAATTTATCAAATTAGGATTGAAAGTGATGTCTTGCTGGAAAAAAAGACCGCAACATTAAATCAGTTTGATCTATTTATATTAAAATAAAGTTTGAGTAAATATTTTATAAATAAAAAAGCGATTATGGATTAAAAATGAATTGAGTCTTTGCCACAAACTCTGATTTTCTAATCACATATATCTTTGGAGTTAAATGTTGTAAACCTTAGATATTTCAAACTATGAGTTTGTAAATCAAATGATCTGAGTTTGAAATATCAAAGGTTGACAACATCGGGTTCTAAAGATATTGGGGTTTAAATATTTGATTTTGTTCCAAAGACTCAATTCCTTTGTATGTCTCTGAGGCAACAAACATTGTTTGCAACATGTTTCTAGTGTGATAAAATTTACAAATGAACATCGCGTGGAATAAAGACGATTTAAAAGTTGTCCATTTAAACTCTGTTTATTGGGACACCCAGTGTAGTCCTTTTTAAGTACCGTGTACGTTGGTTGCATTTGAAATTATATTATACTTTAAGAAATTTTGCAAAAGACTTTCTTTCATGTTTCTCAATTAGATGGAAATCCCTGAACCCACTTACAACGTTTATTAAGCATTTAATCAAAGAGGGAGAGCGCCAAGTGTCGGTACGGGGTCTATTTTTACTCAGTTATATTATACAAAAGACCCCCCTTCATTTTCATTTTCTCTCTGATCTTAATCATGATGGGATAAATGAGAAACAAATTATTTAAACTTATTCAGAAATAAAAATAAAATCATTTGTATTTAATACCCCTTGGTAAATATAGCGTACCCTCCCTTTAATACTATTTATACAGTTCTACTGCGCCATTACTGTGTAATTATTAATTAGCTCTGATGTTGAGATTCTGAATATATATTTATTTTATGGACTTTACGTATTATATGTTTATTTATATGTACTGTAAGTAAAATATAAATAAATTGTAAACAGCAGTCTTAGTTAATAGGTTTTACAAACAACGGTATTAGTTAATAGGTTTTACAAACAGCAGTATTAGTTAATAGGTGTTACAAACAGCAGTATTAGTTAATAGGTTTTAACAAACAGCAGTATTAGTTAATAGGTTTTACAAACGAGGACTTTTAGATCAAATGTTTACCTCCACTAAAATATTGTAAATATTTTACAGTAGAATGTCCATTTTTGTAAATACATAAATGCATAGTTTTTGGAGGAATAAATTGCTATTTAAATTCAGAACAAATTGATTATTTATGTTTATTAAATTTGCTTAATTAAATAAATTGTTTGATAGAAGGAGATTAAGATATATATACCCCCAATATTTTGAGGTCTAAGACACTGCACACTACTGAGAGAAAAACTGTTCAGTGCTTGTCTTGTGCATTTTCAGTTTTTGTTTTCCGCATGCAACTTGGCGGGAAAAAATTAACTGAAAGTTTACTAAAAGAAAATAAATGAAATTAGATTTGAAACTTGAAATAAAATATGCCAAAACCTCCAGTTTTGGAAAGTCAGTGTAAAAGTTGTAATCATGGTTTCATATTTCAGTGTTGAGGTTCCCCCAGGTTCAGATCTAGGTTCTCTACCCCCTCAATCCTACTGGTCCAGCTCAGATCATTTCTCATCAAGGATTGTTTGCATTTCTTTCTTTTCACACATTTTCGGTAAAATAAATGTTTCAAGTTGAGTAGAACGGAATAGAATAGTTATCTTCTGTTTTCAGAAGAAAGTCTGTCTAGAAACTAAGAATATTCTTTTTATTCTTCATCTAAAGTATATTTTCTCTTAAATATAATATCCTGAGAATAATTTGATGTTTATCCATTTCTTCGCAATACTTTCCATCCGGAGTTTTCTTCTTAGCATCCTGGTGAAGTAATGGGATTGGTTCAGACTGTTCCACAACTTTTACTTGGAGAAAATATTTTTATAAAGTTTTGAAGAATGCTAATCCTTGGTTTAGAGCTAGGTTTAGAGGAGATGAGCTTTCTCTGACAGGACTCAAGTCAGTAGAGTCAGGAACCTACAGGTTAGTATCCGGTAGCAGCTAAATACAGGGATACAGTGCAGATGCAGGGATACAGGGATACAGGGATAAAGGGATACAGAGATACAGGGATACAGAAATACAGTTATACAGGGATACTGGGATATAGGGATACAGGGATACAGGGATACAGGGGTACTAAGATACAGGGATACTGGGATACAGGGATCCTGGAATACAGGGATACAGGGAAACAGTGATACAAGGATACAGGGATACAAGGATACGGGGATACAGGGATACAGGGATACAGGGATTCAGGGATGCTGGTACAGAGTACAGAGTACAGGGTACAGAGTACAGGGTACAGGGTACAGGGTACAGAGTACAGGGTACAGGGTACAGGGTACAGGGTACAGGGTACAGGGTACAGGGTACAGGGTACAGGGTATAGGTTCGGGCACGTATGACAGATTGCTTTCCTGCGAAGATCCACTAATTTTCACACTTTTCTACTAACTCTAAAAAATGTAAACGTGGAACAAAATTAAGTTTCCAACCTGATCTGTACTTTTTTCTGTACGGTAAACAATAAGGTACAAAAACCTGTCAAACTTTTTAACTTTCAAATATAACAAATATATTAAATGTCAAGTAAAAGTGTAGATGTTGAAAAACATTTATATTTTGAACATGTTATTAACTTATTTGGCTTATTTTTCAACTAATTCCAACAAGTGCGTGAGATTTTTGTTTGAAAAAAATATTCACACAGCACAATATACAATAATTATATGATAGAAAAATATAATGGTAAAAAACAGTTTTAAATTTAGCTTAAAGGGACTGTAAAGGAAAAATAAAAGGGGGTATAGGTTGAAACATGACAATGATATTGTTTTCCTATTGGTGGGAGTTCTGTTGACGTAATATGGATGTAATAATTATTTTTATTTATTTCGTGAACGTACACAATTTAAATAATTGGTACAATTAAACAGAAGAAAAAAGAACTATAAGAGTATATATCAAAAATGAATACAAATACNTCCACACGCCGAAATGATTTTTTCTGTATTATTGTACTTTCTGCTCCCAGAGTTTAAAACAAAGTGTTCTTGAACGCACACAATGTCGGAAAATAATTGAAGATGGCCTATAAATTCTTGCTTATCTAATTAATAAGCTGATGAAAGATCCGGCGTTACCCTTAAGTGTCCACAAAAAGATTCAGTCTATTCGGTCCAGCCGTTTTGCCGGATATAGGTAACATATATACATGTTTCAGGCTCGATCCTCTGGGATATTGTCGTTTTCAGATTGGTTGCATATTTGCTGAATACGATCTGTTTAAACCTACGATTTGTATACAAAATTTCATATATATAAATTTTCGTATAAATTGGACACAGTTTTATATCAATTTCTCGAGACAGGAACATCAGATATAACTTTCATGGGTCGCGATCAAGAGCTGAAGTGATTAGCTTTCACCCCATGAGTCTCGATCAACTCCTAAAATGCTTTGGAATCAGCCTACACCCCCTTTCGTTTTTCCTTAACAGTCCCTTTAAGAATAGAAAATCATGTAAATGTTTGTCTTGTCGATGTAACTAATTTTTTCACAATTTGAATCATCTCAGTTATTTTCATTTTCTCATACTTATTAAATGTTTTAGAAGCAGTTGAGAGTGTTCTTATTGTGGATGAGGAAGGGAAGGACCGAAGCACATTTGTTGGACCATATCTACAGGGACAATCCGTTAAACTCAAGTGTATTGCTGTTAAAGGTAAAAGATACCTTCGGGGACAATCTTTTTAACTCTAGTGTATAACTGTCAAAGGTAGAAGGTACCTTCCGGGATAATCCTTTAAACTCTAGTGAAGGATATCTTCAGGGATAATCCTTTAAACTTAAGTGAAGGATATCTTCAGGGATAATCCTTTAAACTCAAGTGAAGGATATCTTCAGGGATATTCCTTTAAACTCTAGTGAAGGTTATCTTCAGGGATAATACTTTAAACTCTAGTGAAGGATATCTTCCGGGATAATCCTTTAAACTCTAGTGAAGGATATCTTCAGGGATACTCCTTTAAACTCTAGTGAAGGATATCTTCAGGAATAATCCTTTAAACTCAAGTGAAGGATATCTTCAGGGATAATCCTTTAAACTCTAGTGAAGGATATCTTCAGGGATAGTCCTTTAAACTCAAGTGAAGGATATCTTCAGGAATAATCCTTTAAACTCAAGTGAAGGATATCTTCAGGAATAATCCTTTAAACTCTAGTGAAGGATATCTTCAGGGATAATACTTTAAACTCAAGTGTAGGATATCTTCAGAGATAATCCTTTAAACTCAAGTGAAGGATATCTTCAGGAATAATCCTTTAAACTCAAGTGTAGGATATCTTCCGGGATAATCCTTTAAACTCTAGTGAAGGATATCTTCAGGGATACTCCTTTAAACTGAAGTGAAAGATATCTTCCGGGATAATACTTTAAACTCTAGTGAAGGATATCTTCAGGGATAATCCTTTAAACTCTAGTGAAGGATATCTTCAGGGATAATCCTTTAAACTGAAGTGAAGGATATCTTCCGGGATAATTCTTTAAACTATAGTGACGGATATCTTCAGGGATAGTCCTTTAAACTCTAGTGAAGGATATTTCAGGGATAGTCCTTTAAACTCTAGTGAAGGATATCTTCAGGAATAATCCTTTAAACTCAAGTGTAGGATATCTTTAGGAATAATCCTTTAAACTGAAGTGAAGGATATCTTCCGGGATAATTCTTTAAACTATAGTGTAATGCTGTTAAAGGTAAAGGATCCTATCCTTTATAAATGTTGCAATAAACTTGCTCTGATGTTTACCACCTGATCTTGTCTTCATACACTCCAAACACTTCATACAAATCATGAAAAATTATGTCGTAAAAAGACCGTAGACATAATTTCAAGTGATCCTCTATTAAAACAAGTGTTCGATTCACAACGGTGCCCTAGACGCCCTTTATTTGATTAACAATGAGGAGAATATCGTCGTAAAAAATAAAGAAGAAAAATCATTTTATTAATTTTCTTCCTCCTTCTCAACTCCATTAAATCCACAATTCACTTTTGTAGAGAACCGCAATTGAAAGTGTTCAATTTTTAGATATAAAATGGGATGACTCCATTATTTTTGCTTGACAAAAAGGTTTAAAGGGTACCATGTCAATAGGAAATCCAAAGGGAGGGACACTTGAAATTATGTCGACAGACCCTTTAATTTTTTTGCGTTCTAGGGCATCCATCTCCTAAAGTTGAATGGTTCAGAAATCGTGAGAGCCTTGGAAGCAGTTGGGTCATCTTAGAAAACAGGAAAACCAGTTTAAACATAAACAAATATAATTATAAACCAGTTTAAACATAAACAAATATAATTATAAACCAGTTTAAACATAAACAAATAGAATTAGTTTAAACATAAACAAATATAATTATAAACCAGTTTAAGCATAAACAATTTAATTATAAACCAGTTTAAACATAAACAAATTATAAACCAGTTTAAACATAATTAAATATAATTATAAACCAGTTTAAACATAAACAAATATAATTGTAAACCAGTTTAAACATTAACAAATATAATTATAAACCAGTTTAAACAAAAACAAATACCAATTCTATCCTTGTTTAAACATAACAATTCCAGTAAAAAGCTGTAGTAAATGTCATATACTCTAATATTGTTTCTTTTAGATCTGTACCAATCCCGGTATAGCCTTCCGTATCCTTAGGTATCTGTCTTACAATATACACTCCAATCTTGAACTCTAGGTTCCTCAGTAATACTTTAGTCAATATCAATCAGGATAGGACTCTATCTGTATTCTTAGGTATCTGTCTAACAAGATACAACTCAATCTCGAACTCTAGGTTCCTCAATAATTCTTTAGTCAATATCAATCCAGATACAACTCTATCTGTATTCCCAGGTATCTGTCTTACAAGATACAACTCAATCTCGAACTCAAGGTTCCTCAATAATACTTTAGTCAAGATACAAGATACAACTCCATATGTATTCTCAGGTATCTGTCTTACAAGATACAACTCAAATCTGTCTTGTTCGTTACATGAGAATATATTAATCACCGTAATCAAGCGGAGTATTATTCAAACTAATGAATATTTTGAGTCTTATATGATAAAGGTTAAATTATTGAACGTTAGTAGGCTAAATCCTAATACAAGTTTTACCTAGTTACTTACAAGCGTAGTTAATTGTGTGTGAAAATGTACAACGTAATATATATAGGTATGTTCAGGTTTACAGATATAGGGTTTACTACGATATTTACTACAAACCTTTTAGAACATATACATATATGATTATCAATTATCACTCTATCAGACAACAATTTTAAACCATCATTGGTACAACAAGTAAGAAATATAAAAAATCATGCAAAACCTTAGAAAAGACGTAAAGCTACAATAATATGAATAAGTTCAGATATTCTTTTTGTTTATTGTTTTATTTTTAAACATTTCACTTGGTTGGAGACAGATGTTAAATGTGTGCAAGGTGCATCCATACAACATTTTTTAGAACTTTTCATTCCTAGCAAATGTTTAAACAAGAATTAGAAGGAACAAAACTTAAATATTATATTTTAAACTTTTCTAAATTCGTTTAGAAAAGAAGTTGATTTTCAGTTTTCACATTGGATTCCTTATCTTTGTGTATGTGGGGAGAAATTATTCAAATTTTAAAATAATTTCAAAATACATTTTTTTGGGTTTCTGAAAACCATTTATACATATTTATATTTGATAATAATATTTCTATAAAAATATGGCTTAAAAAAAGTAGCTATCTTTGCAACCAAATCTCTTTTACCATAGATATTTAAAAACTATGAGTGTGTTAGATAAAATAATCTAAGTTTGAAATATCAAAGGTTTACGCCCCGAGGTTGCAAAGATATAGGAAACAGAGCATTTGAGTTTGCAGCAAAGCCTCAATTCCTTTTTTTCTAACTTCTCGGTAAGGCCAAGTTGCATTTACTTTGATCTTTTATCTCTAGTATAAAAACATGAGCTTTAAACCTTTAGAAATATGATGTGACCAACACGTGAAGGGAAAATTGAAAAACGATCTGACAATCTCAAATATTTGCATAATTGATATTTAAAATGGAGAATGAGATAGACCGTAATAATGGGAGAATAAAACCGGATGATTAGGCTCAACACTATTTTCAGTTCGGGATTAATAAATCTCCTTCGTCTTGAACAGTCTAGAACAGTCTAGAACAGTCTAGAACAGTCTAGAATAGTCTAGAACAGTCTAGAACAGGCTACAAAAAAATAGTAAGTGAACTAGTAAGATAAAATCAAAGGCCAAGGCTGTACGACTCTTCAAAATTGACCCAGTCTTAAAAATTGATGCAACTTTTCATAGCAGTCTGGATCTTTAGTTTTTATAAAGTAATTGGAAAAGTTTGTTTAGAATTTTTCTGTAGAGTTTGCAATCTTTGGATCACTGTGTCGACTATCACCGTAAAAGTGACAATCAACATTTTCATCCTTTAAACCTTTCTCTGGTTAACTTCCGAAATAAGAGTTTTTGGTTTTTTTTACCTAGAAAAGAGATAAATTTTGTCGAATTCCTTCATTTTCTATGCAGAAGATATACCAAGTCTATGCAGAAGATATACCCAGGCCACTTGAGAATAAAGTTGACTCGTCACCTGCAATTTCTTCTACATTCCCTTTAAGATCAGAGTACTGACTCTTTTCTTCCGGTTTATTAGATTGATACAGCACTGAAAATGAGACCAAGATCAAGCATTCGTTTTTGTGCGACAAATACTGGCAAAAGATTTATTGCTCTCTTTCATAATTCTATAGGAAAAAGTTTCTGAAAAAGAAATAAAAAGTAGGGAATTTTGTTCTGGTCACGCTTACAAAGTTTGGTTTGGTTGGAAACTCTCTCTGTTTGATAAGTATCCTAAGTTTCAAAGTTTTCTTAAAGAACTTAATCGTCTCATCTCTAAGGATGAAGAAACTATAGCAGAGTATCAACATCTTTGCTCTAATAATTTCATTCTATATCAACATATTTGCTCTAGTAATTTTATCTGTATCAACACCTTTGCTCTAGTAATAGTAATTTTATTCTGTATCAACATCTTTGCTCTAGTAATTTTATTCTGAATCAACATCTTTGCTCTAGTAGTTCTATTCTATATCAATATATTTGCTCAAGTAGTTCTATTCTATATCAATATATTTGCTCTAATAGTTCTATTCTATATTAACATCTTTGTTCTAGTAGTTCTATTCTATATCAATATATTTGCTCTAATAGTTCTATTCTATATTAACATCTTTGCTTATGTAGTTCTATTCTATATCAACATCTTTGCTCTAATAGTTCTATTCTACTAATAGTTCTATTCTACATCAACATCTTTTCTATGTTAGTTCTATTCTATATCAACATATTTGCTCTATATTTATTTTTTCCGGCTCTATTTTACATCAATATATATTTACTGGAAAGGAATTGAGTTTTTGCCACAAACTATGATTTTCTAATTTCAATATCGTTGCAACCCAATGTCGCAGATCTTTAAAATTTCAAACTATGAATGCTATTAGGTCAAATAATGTAAGTTTGAAATATCAAAGGTTTACACCATATGGTTGCAAAGATATAGGTTTTACAAAAACCGAATTTGTGGCAAAGACTCAATTCCTTTTCTGTCACATTTAAGATTATTTTATTCTAACTTTAAAAAAATTGTTTTAGTTCTATCAAAGCAAAAAAAATGTCTCTATAGTCCAATTTTGTGTGACAATCCTCTCAAAACCCGTTGAATTAAGTCCTGTCGTAAATCTAACCTCTAATATCCCAATCCTTACTCCAATCCTATCTTTTAACATCACATCCTCTCTCAGATCCTATAATTCTGGTTTTAAATGGTTGTAACTGGTTTAAACTCAGGACTGTTGTATCGGAGCTGGAGATACACAACCTGTCTAGGTCTGATCTACACTCGGAGCTGAGCTGTCGGGTTTCTAACAACAATATCTCAGCTCCAACTACCATCACTGTACACGTAGATATGAACTGTAAGTCAAAAATGAATACTAGACTATTTAAAGCAATGTTAGGTATTTTCACAAAGTATTTTCTTAAACGGAAACTTACCAAGGGTATTTACCTGGTATTTACCCAAGTGGCAACTTCCCAAGTCTGTCGTAGCTGCTGATCTCGGCCCCCTAAACAGTTCTAGCCGCAGTGTCGGTCTTTAGCCAATCCTAGCCCAGCAGCTCAACCCCCAATTGCAGTCTGCGGCGCCTGAAAAGTTTCCGCTTGGGAAATTGCACATTTGGGAATTTGCCACTTGAGAAAATACCCTTGGGAAGTTGTAGGTTGGGAAAATGCCTTTGGAAAAATACCTACCACATGGTCCTTCACCCATCCCTGCCAATAATACAGTGTTAAAATACTAAAACTGGATGGATTATAGGAATATTTAATTTTAATTACTTTGAGAAAACCATGAGTTCAATAAGTTCTTCTTAATCAGATTTCATTAAAAATGATATTAAAGTTTTCTTACCCTTCCCTGAGCTGTGGGATAAAGTAGGGACTACAGGGGACTACAGGGGACTACAGGGGACTATGCATACAGAATATTTTAGAGGACTTCTTAAGGCAGGAAATACAGAGAAAAGTGCAGGAAAATACAGAAGAGACAATGGGGGCTTCATGGGGGTTTCTGGGGAGCCTGAGGGCCCACGGGACTTCAGGGGAGATTCAATCGACTTCAAGGGGGCTTAAAGGGAGTGACCGGCTATGTAAGGTAATTGAACTGAGTATGCAGTGTTGTGGAAAACTTCTTTAGGATTCATTTGAGACATATTAAACTTTTTAAAAGTCTGTAAATCCTGAGTTTGAGCTCAAATTCGACGTTCAAAACTCCTGATTTGGGGGTGGATACGCTTTCAGAATTAGTTTTTTTTAAATTATTAATTAACGACGACATAAAATGTAAAAATATTCTACAATAAACTACAGACGTCATGTTTAGGAACATTTTGAGAAAATAAAAATTAATCTTATCATCGAAAATAAGTAATCTTGTTCAATTATTAGTTTCTATTATCTCATTATTCTAGTTTCTCGTTATTCACAAAGATGTTCGCAGATTTTCTATAATTATTATTGAAAAGACGACATTTAAAGAATTTGAAGAAATCTGCGAATAAATTCAAAGAAAATTAGAAATTCAATATAATAATGAAAACGAAATAATCGATTTTAGCATTGATTTATTGACAAATTTCTTTTGTGAAATATGTTCCTAGCCATGTAATTGGATTACTGTATAATTTTTACTTTCTTTTTCGTTGTCGTTATTTAATAATTTTAAACAAAACTAATTCTGAAAGCGTATCCACCCCCAAATCAGGAGTTTTGAACGTCGAATTTGCGCTCAAACTCAGGATTTACAGATCTTTAAAAAGTTTAATATGTCACAAATGAATCCTAAAGAAGTTTTCGACAACACTGCATACTCAGTTCAATTACCTTACATAGCCGGTCACTCCCTTTAAGGAGGAACTTCAGGGAAGCATTAGTGGGCCTTCGGGGGCGCTTTCTGGGGGCTTCAGGGGGCCAAAAAGGGAATTTAGGGAGACTTTTTTTAGGGCTTTAGTGGACTTTTAGGTGGCTAAAAGGCGATATTTTCAGGGGATTTTAAAGGGGATTTTCAGAGGTACTTCAGGGAGGCTTCAGTGGGACTTTTAAGTGTTGCATATCACCCTTATCCTTGGAAAATGCTTTATGTATAAATATATTACCTTTCAGTAGAAAACCAATAATCAATTAAAAATAAAGCGTTAGGTTCAGATTAAGCCAAACCAAATATAGTTACACTATGGTTGATAACCAAGATCTTTAATTTTATATTATAGAATTGAATTAAAAAGAAATTAAGTCTTTGCAACAAAATCAAATTGTTCAATCCCTATATATTTGCAACCCAATGTCAAACTATCATTTCTTTCAGATCAAATAATTTAATTTTGAAATATCAAAGGTTTACACCATCAGGTTGCAAAAATACAGTCAGCAAAAACTGTATTCCTTTAGAAGTATTTTAGATAAAGTTCAGCATTGTGAAATAATTTGAGCTGTAAGCTCAGCCTGTGTTCAATTTAAAGCATTCGAATAACAATTCTTGCGTCTCTTGGAAACGGTTGTTTGGCTTTTGTTTGACAGAAACATCGGATAGAATTAATTTTAGTAACAATTTATAATTTAAAAGATTAGACACCAACATTTCCTTTCTAGAGAACACTCCATTTTATGAATACTAAAATACATTTCCTTTCTAGAGAACACTCCATTTTATGAATACTAAAATACATTTCCTTTTTAGAAAACACTCCATTTTATGAATACTCAAATAAATTTACGAAACTAGTCTATTTACAATAAAATAATTGAATAATATAAAAAAAAGTGTTATGGCTGGAGTTAGAAAATACCAATACAGGGTTTAAACCTTCAAGTATTGTAAAACGATAAACTACACGTCAAAATAACTTGGTAAACGGAGGAATTGCATTCCAGTAAAACAGAACATTGAAAACTATTGATAAACAATTTACTATATTTATAGTATTAGTATTTTCTGATATTGTTTCATTCAGTGGAAAATACAAAGTCTTGAATGTCCTGATTTTTTAAAATATTGTTAAAATATTTTTCTAAAATATAGTTAGTCCGAGTTCTGTCCGACTGGAGGGAGGAGATGATGAGATGATAGTTGGTAAAACTTACACAGTTACCTGTATCATTGAGGGGAGCCGACCTCCCCCTGTAGTCACGTGGTTTATCAACTCAAAGAGAATAGGTTAGTTTTTTTATCGAACGGTTGGACCAAATAGGCTGAACATTTTTAATGGAACGCATGGATACCCTGGGAGTAACAAAGGCTAAAATAATTTAATATTTCCTAACCTCTCCTAACCTTCCCTATACCTAGATTTTCTTCCCTTTCATAAACCTAGCCTCTCTTCCCTTTCCTCAACCTAGCTTTTCTTACCTTCCCTATACCTATCTTTCCTTCCCTTCCCTATACATAGATTTCTTTCTCTTCCCTAAACATAGCTTCCCTTCCCTTCCCTATACCTAGCTTTCCTTCCCTTCCCTATACATAGATTTCTTTCTCTTCCCTAAACATAGCTTCCCTTCCCTTTCCTATACCTAGTTTTCCCTCCCTTTCCTATACCTAGCTTTCCTTCCCCTCCCTATACCTAGTTTTCCTTACTTTCCCTATTCCTAGATTTCCTGCCCTTACCTTCAATATACCTAGCTTGCATTACCTATATTACGCATAGCTTTCATTACCTTTCTTATACCTAGATTTCTTTACCTTCCCAACACCTAGCTTTCTTTCCCTTCCCTAAACCTAGCTTTCATTACCATTTCTATACCCAGCTTTTCTTTCTTTCCTTCCCTACACCTAAACGTTTATTTTTTTCCTTCCCTTTACCTAGGTTTCCTTCCCTTCCCTAAACCTAGGTTTCCTTCCCTTACTTATACCGAGGTTTCCTTCCCTTCCCTATACTTATCTTTCCTTCCCTTACTTCTACCGAGGTTTCCTTCCCTTTCCTTTACCGAGGTTTCCTTCCCTTAGTTATACCGAGGTTTCCTTCCCTTAGTTATACCGAGGTTTCCTTCCCTTAGTTATACCGAGGTTTCCTTCCCTTCCTTATACTTATCTTTCCTTCCCTTTCCCATACCGAGGTTTCCTTCCCTTCCCTATACCGAGGTTTCCTTTCCTTACTTATACCGAGGTTTCCTTCCCTTTCCCTATACTTAGCTTTCCTTCCCTTCCCTATACCTAGCTCTCCTTCCCTTACCTATACTTAGTTGTCCTTCCCCTTCCCTATATGTAGCTTCTTTTTCCTTTCCTAAATCTAGTTTTCCTTTCCTTTCCTATACCTAGCTTTCCTTCCTTCCCGTCAAATATTGAAAACTCTTAGTTTTTTCAGTTTTAATCCTATAGTAAAGATTGAGAGAAGATATCTCACAATGATTTGTTCCCAGACATCCAGCCGCCGGGGGATATTTGAGAATTAAAGGAAGGCGGCTTCTCTAGGCTCACCCTAGAGCAAGAAGGCCTCAGGCCCGGCTCTGTTTACTATATTTTACCAAAGAGAAGTANGAAATACAAAGTTTTATCTATTTCAATCCTTGTAATCCCTAACGGAATGGTAAAAACACAAACATAAATAATTATAAGTACTAAAGTGTTTTTGTTGTCTAACTTTCCCCTATTTTCAGAAGGAGTTCAGGATACGTCTACTGGAGATGGTACACTGAGCAGGAGCAAGCTTAACTTTAACCCTGGAGTAGAGGATGTAGATAAGGTTTTACTGTGTAAAGCATTTAACCCTGTAGTTCTGGGATCAGAACCAGTTTCATCGGAGATATCTCTCAACATTTCATGTAAGATATGAATCTATACATAATCCATGAACCTTGTTTTACGAGAGTAAACACCAGCTTTAGCATTTTTTATACCCTAGAAAGCCTGGCGAAGACTCAGTTTTAGTTAAAACCGATTTGATTTCGTTTTAGGAACTGTAGATCTGTTTTGATTTGGTTTTAGGAACTGTAGATCTGTTTTGATTTGGTTTTAGGAACTGCAGATCTGTTTTGATTTGGTTTTAGGTACTGTAAATCTGTTTTTATTTGGTTTTAGGAACTTTACATCTGTTTTTATTTGGTTTTAGGAACTGTAGATTGTTTTGATTTGGTTTTAGGAACTGTAGATCTGTTTTGATTTGGTTTTAGGAACTGTAGATCTGTTTTGATTTGATTTCAGGAACTGTAGATCTGTTTTGATTTGGTTTTAGGAACTGTAGATCTGTTTTGATTTGGTTGTAGGAACTGCATAGATCTGTTTTGATTTGGTTTTAAGAACTGTAGATCTGTTTTGATTTAGTTTTAGGAACTGTAGATCTGTTTTGATTTGGTTTTAGGAACTGTAGATCTGTTTTGATTTGGTTTTAGGAACTGCATAGATCTGTTTTGATTTTGGTTTTAAGAACTGTAGATCTGTTTTGATTTAGTTTTAGGAACTGTAGATCTGTTTTGATTTGGTTTTAGGACCTGTAGATCTGTTTTGATTTGGTTTTAGAAACTGTAGATCTGTTTTTAAAATGAACACAATGTGAAAATAATTTATTTGCCTATAGTTTAAATTACCAAAGTTTAAAAACTTTATCATTATTATGTTTTATGTGCCAACTCCCTTTTCAAACTCTGCATACACTACACAGTTCAATGAACACATATTTATCTCCCACGCCATGAAGTTTAAAAACTGGGGATTGCCAATTTCGTTTAATGCCCAATTAATGTTTCCCGAGGGTCCGGTACTATTGTAGGGTCAGGTACTGATGGGGGTATGATAGTTCTCTACCTGTGTGCTCTGTTAGCTGTACTTAGCTGGGAACTTTAGAACGGGACACCTTAAATCCCGACTGCATAATCCGAATATCCACTTTTGATTTCTTGCTTAATCGACTCTTTTTTGGATATAGTACAGAAAAATCAAAAACCGGTTTCTCAAATTAGAGAGTCCCTCCCGTTTTTGTATATTAATCTTACATGGCGCGCAAAATTTCAAATTTCCCGGCTTCTGATACGCGACTCTGATTCGTTGATTTTATACACTTTTCAGGATACAAGTACAAGGTTAGGTTTTTGGTCAGTCTCGAGATTAATATACCGACAGGATGAAGCATTAATCTCGATATCTACCATTCTAAAGTTCCCAGCTTTGTACGCTTACAGCTAAGTGTTTATTGATAATGATATACTATAGGTTTGGCCAGTATCTCCTTTTATTAAACAAATATGCAGTACTCTCTCGGTATGTTCTTGAGCCCAAAACTTAAGACAGGGTATCGTTATGAAAACCAGTTTAAAACCCGGGTTTCACGAATGTGGGTTGGGCAGTTTTGTGAATATCAATTTTTTGTAATGAAATATTATTTTTTCCGTTTGTTTATATTCTCCAATTTTTTTGAATCTCTTAAATGAAAATCAACACAAATGTTAAGATCCCAAAAAGAAAACTCGGGAGTTTTGTTCAACGACACTCTTTTAAATTTCGGGCTCTGGGCTATACAATTATTAAAGGATAAGCGAACATAATGCACTCTATACACTATAACCTCGTTGGTCAGGTACTATTGTAGTTTCATGTGCAAAAGATTGGCTTTATGAGGACATATTCAGCGTACAGTATACACTTATAGCGTATACTGTACAATTAAAGTGTAGTGTTCACTGAACATTTAATGCGTACTTTTATATTTATAAGTCCGTATGACGTCATCAGAACTCCCACGAATGGTAGTGCAGTATACTGGTCACGGGATACAGACGGAGACACATGACCAGTATACTGCACTCTCATTGGTGAGAGTTCTGCTGCATATATATGAAATTTCGTACAAAGGAATTGAGTTTTTTCACAAACTCAAATTTTCCAATTCCAATAACTTTGAATCCTGATGGTGTTAGAAAATCTGAGTTTGCTGCAAAAACTCAATTCCTTTGACACAGATTTATATCAATTTCTCGACACAAGAACATCAGATACAACTTTTATAAGTCGCGATCAAGAACTAAAGTGATTAGCTTTCAGCCTATACCCCATTTCATTTTGCCTTTACAGTTCCTTTAATTTAAGAAAGTTAACTTTTAATAACCTTGAGTTTGAGAATGTTGTTATTGTTGTGATTTTAAAATGTACGAAAGTCTTGCATACATTTAGATCAGAAACTAAAAGTATTACCAATAGGCAGTAATAATGACGCGAAGTGCCCTGTACGCCAAGTTACGAAATATTTAAAAATTTCTCTTTTCTTTACTTGATCACCTCCATCACTTCCAGGCCTGAATATTCAATCATTACTCACTCATTCCTGGCCTGAATATACAATAATTACTACCTCACTTCCTGGTCTGAATATTCAATCATTACTCCCTCACTTCCTGGCCTGAATATTCAATCATTACTCCCTCACTTCCTAGCCTGAATATTCAATCATTACTCCCTCACTTCCTGGCCTGAATATTCAATCATTACTCCCTCACTTCCTGGCCTGAATATACAATAATTACTACCTCACTTCCTGGCCTGAATATTCAATCATTACTCCCTCACTTCCTGGCCTGAATATACAATAATTTCTACCTCACTTCCTGGCCTGAATATTCAATCATTAATTTAATGGATCCATCAAACTTTTAATTTGTCTTCATTGTTTTCTTTTTATACACTGAGAGTGAGTGGAGGGAGGAAAAGTATTAAACTTTATTTACCGGTTTTATGTATTAATTACTACTTAACCAGGAGGTTAATTAAATACAAGTTATGTCACTTAGCCGAGGGCCTTCAGCACCTGTTGGGGTCTTTCCAGTCCCTCCCCCCCTTGGTCCTTTTTTTAAAGTAAAAATTTCAATGGCCGATCTTTAAAAACATTTTACTAAAATTCCGAAATACAAAGTTTTATCTATTTCAATCCTTGTAATCCCTAACGTGTTATCGGAAAATTTCCTTTATAATTTATCTTTGAAACGAAATTTTTTCACAATGAAATGCATTTTACATATATTTGAGGAATTTCCAATAATATTCATATGTGTTTTACTCATTTTTACGTACATAAGGGTATGGCGGCGCCATTTGTTCTATTTCCAGATTTTTTCAGTTAAAATCTTAATAATTTTAATATTTTAGATGCTCCGCGTGTGTTGATCGGGTTGGGTAAATCTATATCTCCGAACACAGTGTACGAAGGAGGAGATGTTTATTTTGACTGTAAAGTGCAGGCTCTGCCCCCTTCTACAAGAATCTCCTGGATACACAATGTAAGGTTAAATAAATATTAAAAACTAGAATATGTTAAATGACTAATTTCAAGTTTACAGAACAGATTTAACAAACCTTACATTTTAAGCNTCCCATCCCTTTTTTTCCTATTACAGTCCCCAGTCCCCATACATTCACCTTCTCTCCTTTGTTTACAAGCCAACAACAAATCTTACTTAGGATTCCTTTATGAAAAAATAATTCTATATTGAAAGGCAATCTTTTGAATATATATATAATTCCTATTGTTGTCTCAAGCTTATCTATCTATCTTCTATCAAGATAAATCTATAACCTTATGTTTTCTCCTGTTCTATGTATGGGTTGAGAAACTGCTCTATATCTAGGTTCTAACTTTCCAGGAATATCTTAAGGAGGGGGATTAATAGTGTAGAGAAAACTTTTTGCATCGTCTGTAGATATGTATTGTGTTGAAACACTTCCTGGCTTTTATATTTCATTGATTCAACAAATAAAGATTTAGACTGCACTGGGAGGAAGATAGATAAGGATTAGGATCTATATCAAGGTTTAGGAGTAGGATTAATATCAAGGTTCCGGAGTAGGATTAATATCAAGGTTCAGGAGTAGGATTAACATCAAGGTTCAGGAGTAGGATCAATTTCAAGTTTTAGAACTGGAATTGATATCAAGGTTTAGGAGTAGGATTAATATCAAGGTTCAGGAGTAGGATTAATATCAAGTTTTAGGACTGGAATTGATATCAAGGTTTAGAAGTAAGATTATTATCATAGTTTAGGAGTTGGATTGATATCAAGGTTTCGGAGTAGGATTTATATCAAGGTTTAGGAGTAGTATTGATATCAAGGTTTAGGATCAGGATTGATATATAGGTTTAGGAGTTACATTGATATCAAGGTTTAGGAGTAGGATTGATATCTAGGTTTAGGAGTAAGATTGATATCAAGGTTTAGAAGTAGGATTGATATCAAGGTTTAGGAGTAGGATTAATATTAAGGTTTAGGAGTAGGATTAATATTAAGGCTTAGGAAGAGGATTAATATCAAGGTTTAGGAGTAGGATTGATATCAAGGTTTAGGAGTAGGATTGATATTAAGGTTTAGGAGTAGGATTAATATCAAGGTTTAGGAGTAGGATTATTATCAAGGTTTAGGAGTTGGATTGATATCAAGGTTTAGGAGTAAGATTGATATCAAGGTAAATGAGTAGGATTGATATCAAGGTTTAAGAGTAATATTGAAGAATACCCTAAAAGTGGAATTTTTGTCGTAAGATTAAGTTGTAGAATTTTTTAAAACCTCTAAGAAGCCAAAGAAAGTAAATCCCTGTATCTAATTCTAGTATAGGAAAGAGTAGGTATGGATAAACCGATTACAATGTGTAATTGGTAAAATAAACTTATCCGCACTACTGCAGGCACTATGGGAACCACGAACCAGAATAAAAGAGAGATAAAAAACATTTTTTGCCGAACATTTCATCAAAGGTTTAAAGAAGGCTTTATATGAAGGTTCAAGGGAAGGATCAGAAACTTTTAAAAAAAAATCCTAAAAGGGAGACCATTATTTTCGAGAATCAAGCATCCGCGAACTAGTAAACAAAACCTGAATGAAGGAACAAGAAAGCAAAAAACAGAAACCATAAATTAAGAACTAACTTGAAATTGGATCCAGGAACTTCATATTGTGGACTGGTGATTAGTGTTCTTGTATACTAGTGATTGGTACTGTTATGGAGTAATTGTTTTTGTTGTGGAGTAGTTGTTATTGATAAGGAGTAGTTGTAATTGTTGTGGAGTAGTTGTTTTTGTTGTGGAGTAGTTGTTACTGCTGTGGAGTAGTTGTTAGTGTTGTGGAGTAGCTGTTATTGTTGTGGAGTAGTTGTTATTGTTGTGGACTAGTTGTTATTGCTGTGGAGTAGTTTTTATTGTTGTGGAGTAGTTGTTATTGTTGTAGACTAGTTGTTATTGTTGAATACTAGTTGTGTTTGTTGTGTACTAGTTATTATTGGTATGGACTATTTGTTATTGTTGTGGAATATTTATTATTGTTGTGAACTAGTTTTATTGTGGTGGACTATTTTTATTGTTGTGGGTTAGTTGTTATTGTTGTGGTGTAGTTGTTACTGTTTTGGAGTAGTTGTTATTGTTGTGGAGTAGTTGTTATTGTTGTGGAGTAGTTGTTATTGTTGTGAAGTAGTTGTTACTGTTGTGGAGTAGTTATTATTGTTGCAGAGTAGTTGTTATTGTTCTGGAGTAGTTGTTATTTTTGTGGAGTAGTTGTTATTGTTGTGGAGTAGTTTTTAATGTTGTGAAGTAGTTTTTATTGTTGTGGAGTAGTTGTTATTGTTGTGAAGTAGTTGTTATTGTTTTGGAGTAGTTGTTACTGTTGTGGAGTAACAGTTATTGTTGTGGAGTAGTTGTTATTGTTGTGGACTAGTTGTTATTGTTGTGAACTAGTTGTTATTGTTGTGGAGTAGTTGTTATTGTTGTGGAGTAGTTGTTATTGTGGAGTAGTTTTTATTGTTGTGGACTAGTTGTTATTGTTGTGGTGTAGTTGTTTCTGTTGTGGAGTAGTTGTTATTGTTGTGGAGTAGTTGTTATTGTTGTGGAGTAGTTGTTATTGTTGTGGAGTAGTTGTTTCTTTTGCGAAGTAGTTGTTATTGTTGTGGACTAGTAGTTGACAGATAATCAGAATATGATAAATATTTCAACATTATTCTAAATGTATGTTTACTACTGAGAAAACCGGTGCAAGTATTATTATTTTTAAAATTTAAGATGGAATAAATTTTCCAAAACAGAGGAATTGAGTTTCAAACTTTTTCAAGTTTCAAACACCTTTGACCGCTAAAAATGCAATCACAGTGAAATATTTCATGGATATGCCAGATTGAGAATTTGATACCAGTGTTTTTTTTTACCTTTCGGCGTTCTTTAAACACAAAATTCAACAATTACATCAGAAAATAGAAAAGTATGAGGGTTAAAAAACAAAAACCCTTCTGAACCAATTTCTTGCCCAAAACTCCGATTTTCGATACTTTATATTTTTGCAACCTGACAATGTAGACCTTTGATATTTCAAACTATAAATTCGGCAAGCTTAAATAGTCAAAATTTCAAATAGTCAGTAATCAGTTACTTTACGATATATTTTGTTTCAAAATTTGATGTTAATATCTTTTTTAAACTATTTTATTTAAAGAAATTTTATGAGATTTGAACAAACTCTTTTATAATTCTTTATTTTGAAATTTAAAACAATCTGTAATTCTAAAATTATAACATAAAATGGATGACAGATTTATTTAGCATTTAAAAAATAGCAACTTTTCATATCTAAAAGTTTTCTAAAAGCATGAAAATTTATTTATTTTTTCCTTACTTTATTCTCTCTGTTGATGTATTTTTAAAAATTAAATACTTCCGTAGATTATTAAAAGTTTAAAATTAAAGTTTATAAAATTAAAATAAAGATTTAGAGAAAGATGATAGAGCTCGCATACAATCTCTTAGAACAAAGTTTTAGATTAGATTTAGTGAATATTTTACAGAAGGTTTAGCTTTAAACTATAAATAAACATTACACTTTTCCTAATATTGTTGCAAACCCATGAAAAAGAGGTATTCAAATTTAAAGATTAAAAGGACTGTATACCTAATTTCCAGCAACCCTCTATTTAAAGGGAGTTGCATGTGCTATTCACAACAGTACACTTTAAACCTTTATCTGAGAAACAATAAGGAAGACAAAGGGTGTGTCAGGGTTAGAACTGTGTCAGAGTTTGATTTGTGTCAGAGTTTGATTTGTGTCAGAGTTTGATTTGTGTCAGAGTTTGATTTGTGTCAGAGTTTGTGTCGGAGTCTGATATATGACAGAGCCTGATAGCTGTGTCCGGGTTTGATCTGTGTCAAAGTTTGGTATATGTCGGATTTGATCTTTGCCAGAGTTTGAACTGTATCAGAGTTTTGATATGTGTTAAAGTTAGATTCTTGTAACAGTCTGATCTTTGTCAGAGACTAACCTTTTTCAGAGTTCGATCATAGGCAGTGTTTGATCTTTGTAAGAGTCTGATATACAGTGTCTTTCTAATGGTTTGTCTTTTTTAATCGCTCTACATTAATATGAGCTCAATTCTTCTAAGAACAGGCTATTAGTACTCGGCGCCGGAGGTGATGAACAGCTTTCTTTAAATCTTCTGATTCCAGAGACCCTACAAAGGACTCCAAGTGCTAGTTTGTTTCAGGTTGTTAATATCTGTATGAGGAACCATTCTAAGAACTGCTAATGCACTATTCTAGAACCAGTAGTCCAAAGGAGACAAATCTGGACTCTTTGCTGGCTAGGCATGATCCGTAATTCGACTTATAACCCTGCAGTTGTTGAGCTTTTTTTTAAATACTCCATTAGCAGAGGTTATAAGGGTTCCTCATACAGATATTGACGACTGGACTGCTATGGAAGATTCCTCTCAAGAGAACTTTCAGGGCTCACAACTCCCCATTTTGCATAAGGGGTGCAGTTATGGGTTTTCCTTAAAATGCCCCTTTACTCGGAAAGAGTATAATTAAGTAGGACGGCAGGGAGAAATCCAATTTACCCTTTCTCCTACAAACCTCCTTATCTCTATTTTACCTGCTCCACAATTCGATGTCAAAAGAACTATTGGGAAAGGCCTTAAAGTGTAAAAACAAGAAACAAGAAGCAAACAGTAGAGATGGGGGGCTTAGTTAGGCCAGAGTTTGATCTGTGTTTTAAAGTTTTATTTGATCTGTGTCAGAGTTTAATCTGTGTCAAGGTTTGATCTGTGTCAGGGTTTGATCTAGACCAGAGTTTGATCTGTGTTTTAAAGTTTTTTTTTCTAAAACTCAGGTATGGGAAAGTAAAGCAAAATGTCAAGAAAACAAATCTATGCCAAATGGTTAAAATTTTAAATTGATTAAATTTTTGTTTTATTTTCAAGGTTTTTTCACAAACCTAACTCTACAGAGTAAACATTTGAATTATTATATTTGGTGTCATTTACTATAAGAAAAGTTTCTAGAGGAGCTACAGTAGTTGGAGGAACTAGAGGAGCTACAGTAGTTAAAAGCGAACTGGAGAAGGTACAGTAGTTGGAAGGGAACTAGAGGAGCTACATTGGTAAAAAGAGAACTAGAGGAGCTACAGTAGTTAAAAAGAGAACTAGAGGAGCTACAGTAGTTGGAAGGAAACTAGAGGAGCTACAGTAGTTAAAAAGAGAACTAGAGGAGCTACAGTAGTTAAAAAGAGAACTAGAGGAGCTACAGTAGTTGGAAGAGAACTAGAGGAGCTACAGTAGTTGGAAGGGAACTAGAGGAGCTACAGTAGTTTCAGAGGAACTACTGGAGCTATACAGTAGTTTCAGAGGAACTAGAGGAGCTACAGTAGTTGGAAGGGAACTAGAGGAGCTACAGTAGTCGGAAGCGAACTAGAGAAGCTACAGTGGTTTCAGGGGAACTAGAGGAGCTACAGTAGTTGGAAGGGAACTAGAGGAGCTACAGTAGTTGGAAGGGAACTAGAGGAGCTACAGTAGTTTCAGAAGAACTTGACGAGCTACAGAAGTTGCAGGGAGCTGGAGTAGTTTAAGTATATAGATGAGTTGTAAAAGGATTCTAAATTAGTTATATATGTAGAGTAAACCAGACTAATGAACGAATAAAGTAGAATTAGGTTAGTACAGTTTCTTAGGGAAACAATTTTAAATCCCAAAAATAAGGAAAGGAGAGATTCAAATATAAAAGATTCGAAAAAGTGTTTAACAATGTATCATATTGAAAATTACCTTCGGGACGAATCATTGTGTCTAGGAATAAAATACTATTTACAATATCTATATATCTAGCTAAATATATATCTATCCAGGGTGTAGAGCTCAGACAGGATGTAGAGAATGGAATACTGTTTACAAACTACAGTCTGGTACTACAGAAGATAACTAGGAACCAAAAAAACTCATTTAAAACTATATGATGGGATACTTTGAGATAAGTATAAGGGGTGAACAAAAAGGAGTACATAAACTTTCACGCTTAAACATGAAGTACATGAACACAAACTACAAAGAATACATGAACACATATTACAAGGGGTACATGAATATATGTTACAAAGAGTTTATGAACAATTACTACAAGGAGTATATGAACATACCGTACTCAAAGTGTACATGAACACACATGGGTACATAGTGCTTTATCTAATACATAAAAGATCTGCCGGTACTTAAAAGCCTAATAATTGCTCTATCGAGGCAAGGATGCATGTTCAGGAATGTTCATCTTGAGATCTTGAGATTATTAAAGTTTGATGAAGAATACAAAAACTAATCCTTCGTTATACATCACTCTAAACCTTACTATCCTCCAGTCTCAACTTTCTATACAAAAAAAATAGAAAAGTTTGCATAAGATTAATTTTTGAAAACCTGAGAAACCTTTTTGACTAATTGAGTTGTTGGTTTGGTTAGAGAGTTATCAGGATCCTATAGTTGCGAGGCCTGGAGCAGGGTAGGAAGAGGACAGAGCCAAGAACTCCTTCTGGACGTGAAATGTGAGCTTAAATATTATTTATTCATGTCTATTCATTTGTAAAGAATATTTTCATTCATATGTTCTGTAATGTCTTTAAGTGTTTACGGTTTTATGTTTATTCTTTATTAGGCGAGTTTATAAATACAAAAATTAAATATTTAAAATTTCCACATCACAAAAGTTTATATCTAGTGTCTCTTCCAAAATTATTTTTATAAAATCAAATTCGTGAGTTTTCAAAAGAGCTTGTATGAGCATTTGTACATATCAAGAACTAGGATATGTATAACGCTATGTACTGTAACCCCGCAGTGACAGTACTGTACAACACTGTATTTAATTCACCTAAATTAAACATGCTACAATTACATAATTTTATCCGCCATTGTTCGTTTATTTACATTTTCTAGATGTACCAACATTGGTTGTACATGTGTACCGCTTATTATCTAATGAATATGTGCTGTACAGTGTACATGTACCTATATCTAGATGTACCTGTATGTAAGAGTGTACAACCAATGATCTACGGAGTATCTAAACGCGAGCTTGTGAATGTACTATGTGAGGTTGAAGCTAACCCTGCTGATGTAGAGTTCAGATGGACGTTTAATAATTCAGCTGAACTAATCAAGGTTCCGACCGGTAGACCAGAGAATAATTTCTCAACAAGCCTTCTCAGGTAATCAAAATATCTATAAATAGTTTTATCATATTTTATATTTATGCTGAAAATATGTTCTTTCCTGATTTTTCAAAATGATATAGTTATATCTCGGAAGACAGTTTAAACTATAAAGATATATAAAAAATTCCCCCTCTGCTGCCCACCAGGCCAATTTCCTAATGACGCCAAGAGTTAAAATGCTTGCATAATACACAAGGAGACTAGAGAACCTAATTAGCAGAATTGTTATGCTTCTCATGTAATCTTTGCTCCGTGATCCTACTTTTACTCAACAACTCACAACATTTTTTTACTTGGAAGGTTCAGGGTGCAATGCACATAGTTTTTTACAATTGTACAGTTTAAGGGTTACAGTTCAGTACAATTTACTCTTCAGATGTACAGTGAATTGGTTAGAATACAGTAGTATTTACTCTTCAGTTGTACAGTGTAAAGTTATAATACACTACAATTTACTCTTTTGTTGTACAGTGTAAAGTTACAATACCCTACAATTTACTCTTCAGTTGTACAGTGTAAATTTACAATACAGTTCAATTTACTCTTTAGTTGTACAGTGTAAAGTTACAATACCCTACAATTTACTCTTCAGTTGTACAGTGTAAATTTACAATAAAGTTCAATTTACTCTTTAGTTTAACAGTGTAAAGTTACAATACAGTACAATTTACTTTTTAGTTGTACAGTGTAAATTTACAATACAGTACAATTTTCTCTTTAGTTGTACAGTGTAAATTTACAATACCCTACAATTTACTCTTCAGTTGTACAGTGTAAATCTAAAATACAGAACAATTTACTCTTTGAAGTACAGTGTACTGTGTAGTCATAACTTGGTGTTATGAACTCTACAGTTGTACAGTGTACTGTACAGCTATAACTTAGTGTAATTTACTCTCCAGTTGTACAGTGTACTGTACAGCTAAAACTTAGTGTAATGTACTCTACAGTTGTACAGTGTACTGTACAGCTATAACTTAGTGTAATGTACTTTACAGTTGTACAGTGTACTGTACAGCTATAACTTAGTGTAATGTACTCTCCAGTTGTACAGTGTCCTGTCCAGTTATAACTTAGTGTAATGTACTCTCCAGTTGTACAGCGTACTGTTCATTTATAACTTAGTGGTACGTACGATCCAGTTGTACAGTGAACTGTACAGCTATAACTTAGTGCAATGTACCCTCCAGTTGTACAGTGAACTGTACAGTATAACTTAATGACATGTACTCTCCAGTTGTACAGTGTACTGTACAGTTATAACTTAGTGTAATATATTGTCAAGTTGTTTACTGTACTGTATAGTTAAAATTCAGTACAATAAACTTTCCAATTTTACAGTGTACAGTTACAATCCAGTTTAATATAATCTTAAGTTTGTTTCTGTACAATTTTACGATGTGCAGTATACTACAATGCATACTAATTCCAAATTACAAGTTTAACGTAAATCTATTTAATTATTCTTATGTTTACTGCTTGGTTCTCATCTACTGTATATTGTTCAGTCCCGCGTTTAAACATTATAATTCAAGGTTTTACGCTGACAACCTTATACAATTTTATTCTCATGTATGATCAGAGAACCCAGCTATTTTAAAGCCTTTAAAAATATATGCCATTTTGTTCCTTCAGTTACTGTGAAATCGTCTGAGTAAGTATAAGCCATGAACTTATGATAAGACTGGTAAGAATTCGGATAAGTTTATTTTGTGTTATGAACTTATGATAAGACTGGTTTGACCTAGGATAACTTTATCTTGTGTTATGAACTTATGGTAAGACTGGTTGGAATAAGGATAAGTTTATCTTATGTTTTGAACATATGATAAAACTGGTTGGAATAAGGATAAATTTATCTTGTGCTATGAACTTATGATAAGACTGGTTGGAATAAGGATAAGTTTATCTTGTGTTATGAACGATATGATAAGACTGGTTGGAATAAGGATAAGTTTATCTTGTGTTATGAACGATATGATAAGACTGGCTGGAATAAGGATAAGTTTATCTTATGTTATGATAAGACTGGTTGGAATAAGGATAAGTTTATCTTGTGTTATGAACTTATGATAAGACTGGTTGGAATAAGGATAAGTTTATCTTGTGTTCTGTATTGGTTTGTTAAAGTAAGGCTGGGATTAGCTAGCGGTAAACCAAGGTTTACTCATGAGCAAAGTTAGCTTATCTTATGATTGTGTTCTGAAATAAATAGCTATTGTTATTCAGGTTTATGGAAAAGGTTAGTTTGGGTTAAAAATGATAAATTAGATTTTGTTATGATAAAACCAGTTGAAGACAGAACAGGTTGATAGAATCAAGGTTGTAATGCAAGAAAAGTTAATTGCTGTCGTGTATACTCTGTGTAGATAGATGCTGCAGTGTTCATTTAGTATCCGAGGAGGTTAAAAGCATTAAATTTTAATAATTTTGATAATTCACATAATATTTGCCTATGACCGGAATATTTCATTGATTTTTTTATGTGATAGATGGATCCCATGTCAGGCTTCGACATCCGTCTTGTGTTTACATTACCGCCCAGAGACAGTACACTGCATAACAAAAGATGCATTCACTTCAGAAATAACTTTCCTTGCATTACATCCTTGGATAGAATAATGTTGGCTCAAGCAATGTGACGCATGAACGAGTTTAGATGACGAAGCTAGGACCGGTATTTGAAAATAGAAAAAAATTGTTTAGGTAATCATTTGAAGAGTTGCATACCTGATTCACGACGGTACTTTTTAAACTTTTCTCGAAGCAAAAAATATTGTGTCACCCTTTATTGTTAAAGGGGATCTTTGTAAAAGTATAACTTGCGAATTTATCCAGTAGAGACAATGAAGTAAATAGAGATAATTTATATCTTTTCAAATTGAGTAAATGAAAATCGGATAAGCAAGTATTTGACCTTCAAAAGTTGAAAATTTTATAAAAAATAATTGAATTTTAATATCTTTTTTTTCAAACCCCGCCCCCCCCCCTCTATAGATATTTATGTAAATATTGATGCTAAAAGAAATAAATATCTTTACAAGTTTACCGCCACCCAATCTTTTATATTGAAAAGTATTGTTTTGGAAAATATTCTGTTGTATAGTCCCAACCATTTACCTCCAAATACTTAAGAAAGGAAACTAGACAGTACAAAAAATGTGCACATGATAATACATTGCAGATCAAGGATTTAATGCAAGGAAAGTTATTTCAGAAGTGTACGCATCTTTTATACTGCAGTGTACTGTCACTGGGCGGTAATGTAAACACAAGACGGATGTGGAAGCTTGACATGGGATCCATCTTTCACAAAATAATTAATGAAATATTCTGGTCATAGGAAACTATTATATGAATTATCAAAATTATCAAAATTCAATGCTTTTAACCTCCTCGGGTACTATAAACGAACACTGAGGCATCTTTTCTTGTTTACAAATTCCGCCCAGAGAGAACTGGTTTTAATATGTACGCAGAGTATACACGACCGCAATTAACTTTCCTTGCATTACATTCTTGTTGCAGATGAAGAAAATTAAAGATGTTCAATTTTGAGAGATTTTTTTACCCGCATTTTTCAACAAATTTTAAATTTTCCCCCGATGCAAGTATACGATTCTATAAGATTTTTTTCAAACCACCCCAGCTTAATCAAAATTTTGCGGTTTTTAGAAAAATTTTACGAACTTAAACTGGACAAAATATCGGATAGGGTTGAAGAAAAATAATAAAGGATAATTATGATTCAATTATCTATAAAAATATAATTGCAGGTTCAAGGATTTCTTATTAAAAGATTGTAAAGGGGATGTTTTTACAGATAATAGTTTTTATTGTTCCGGAAACTTCTTTTGCAAAATTATTTTAGTAAAGATTTTTCAACAGCTTGCAATAAGGGGGTGGGTATTAGATCATAAACAAAATACTACATAAATAAAAAAAATTGAGAAAATTTGCATATTACGCATTGAAAAGTTTTTATCCAAAAAGTATAAAGGAATTGAGTCTTTGCCACAAAGTCAAATTTTCGAATGCCAATATCTTAGCAACCTGATGATGTAAACCTTTGATATTTCATACTTAGATTGTTTTGTCTAAAAACATGCATAGCTTAAGATATCTAAGGTTTACGACTTTGGGTTGGAAAGATATAGGGATTAGAAAATCAGAGATTGTGACAAAGACTCAATTCCTTTATGACTGTTTGAGTACTTTTAAAATGTCATCTGCATTTTAATTTCAAGTGCATGAACCTGCATAGGTACAAGTTAAACCTTTATCCGATACAAAATATAGTAGTTTATGTTTTATTTCAGTTGTTATTTGTTTGTTATACTTTGCATACAATACAATCACAGATAGATTTCCTTTATTTCTACAGTATGCTGTTACCACTTATTCTAGGTCATGATGAAATATATATTTTCTTAATCAAATATTATCAGAATTTCTCACATTATTAAACCCCTCCATCTGATTCAATACTATCCAGTTTAATCTTTGACATTATCCCTATCTCAATTGGGCTATTTTTTTATGAAGGTTACCCCCCCCCTTAAAATTTTGCTCTTGTATCTAGTATTCTATCTATACTCCTGATACCCCGTACTCTACCTTATACACTTGTATCCTGTGTCATAGATAGTCCTGTATCTTGTATCCTAGATAGTCCTGTATCCTGTATCCTACCTAGTCCTGTATCCTGTATCCTGTGTCCTGCTTAGTCCTGTATCCTGTATCCTACCTAGTTCTGTATCCTATATCCTACTTAGTCCTGTATCCTATGTCCTACCTAATCCTGTATCCTATATCCTACCTACTTATGTATCTTATATCCTACCTAGTCCTGTAACCTGTATCCTACATACTCCTGTATCCTGTATCATGTATCCTACATATTCTGTACCTACCTAGTCCTGTATCCTGTATACTACTTAGTTCTGTATTCTGTATCCTACATAATCCTGGATCCTGTATACTGCCTAGTCCTGTATTCTGTATCCTACCTATAGTCCTGTATTCTGTATCCTACCTATAGTCCTGTATCCTGTATACTACCTACAGTCCTGTATTTTGTATCCTACCTAGTCCTGTATTCTGTATCCAACCTAGTCCTGTATTCTGTATCCTACCTAGTCCTGTATTCTGTATCCTACCACCTAGTCCTGTATTCTGTATCCTACCTAGTCCTGTTTCCTTATCCTACCTAGCCTACCCAGATCTTTATCCTGTATACTACACACGTAGTCCTGTGTCCTGTATCCTGTATCCTGTATACTACTTAGTCCTGTATCCTGTATCCTACCTAGTCCTGTATTCTGTATCCTACTATTAATCCTGTATCCTGTATCCTGTACCCTACCTAGTCCTGTATTCTGTATCCTACCTAGGCCTGTATTCTGTATCCTACCACCTAGCTAGCCTGTATTCTATATCCTACCTAGTCCTGTATCCTGTATCCTACCTAGTCCTGTATTCTGTATCCTACTTAGTCCTGTATTCTATATCCTACATACACCCTGTATTGTAGTTATACTCCTGTGACTGCTATGGATTATGGTACCCTGATGTGTTCCTCCAGGAATCAAGTTGGTCACCAGAAGCTTCCTTGTGTTTATCATATTATCATGGCAGGTTAGTAGACACGGTTAATATAAAGAAATATATATTGACTATAGGAACCATCATATCTGATACGTCAAATCTGTGTACTATGCAGTGGGAGGAGATCAGAACAAAGAATCCAGCAGGGGGAAACATCAGTCATATGTCATGGTGTATGGTAGCCGGGGTGATTTGAAGAATATTTCTTGAATATATATTGTCACAACACAAGTTAAAGAAAATGACTGGCGTTTCTTAAAGCTTCGGTCCTACCCTTTCACAGTAGGGATCACTAAGTTTGTTTACATTGCTCACAGAGCCTGAATTTTAAGAGAGTATACTTGTACGAAACTCTTTAGTTTTCTTTTTGGAGTGTATGCATTTGCGTAGATTTTAATTTAAGAAATCAGAAAACAATACAAAAATGCAAAGAAACCATATTAAATGATATTTCCTGACAAAAATTATTTTTATCTAACAAAACTTGAAACCGGGTTTCCGATACTGGGTTTCATAGCGATTCTCGACGTTTCGGGCTGTACACAATTTGCGTACATTTGAGGCGGGTGTGTCTAGTGTAGTTCCTTGGTTAATACAGTTATTGTATAGGTTATACAAATTTTAATTCATGAAGACCTCGAGACCATAAAATGACATTTCATTTTCATCTTAATTTTGCCTTACTGTATTTTTCTTCCTACAGAAAGATTATGAACCTTGTTTATTTTATAAATCTGAGGATTGAGCCTGCACTCTCTACACTTTGTAAAGGATTTTAGTGTACATAACTCAATATCGGAGTCTAGTGAAATATTACAAAATGTAGTTGTTTCAATTTAAACAAAAGTAATTATCTTATACAGAGCGTCCCATATCATATTAGATTATATCCAATCTTTAACGCCAAAATACGCACAATACTAGAAAAATCTATTACTTTCTGCAAAAATAACATTCTATTAGCCTCAATAAATTTTTCAAAATGATTAATTCTTCTTAAATTTATCTGATTTGTCCCCCAAATCGTAATTTAGACCCACTGACGCGGTCTAATTTGATGTGGGACACCCTGTATTTTCTAAAATCTTTCCAACCCAGGGAAATTTTTTTCTATAAAATTATCCTCCCCTGTTTCTGCTTGAAAGATCATGGTTTCTGGGAGAAAAAAAAATTCCATCTTGCCATTTTATCCGGATTAAAAAATCTTTATTCCAGTAAAAGTCCCGAAAGTGTTCCATATAGTTGTATAATATAGTCATTGATCAAAAAGATTGACGGGTAGGAAAATTCATGCCGTAGCTTTAAAACATGAATTTTCAAAAAAAAGACATCATTATCAAAAGAACTGATTACTCGCTGCAAACTCTAGTTTTCTAATCCTAATATCTTGGAAGCCTTATTATGTCGTAAGCATTTAATATTTCAAGTTTTGACTTTTAGATCTAACAAAATTAAAAGTTTGAAATATTTAAAGTCTATGACATCAAGTTACAAAGAAAAAAGTATTACAATATTAAAGTTCGGGTAAAGTGATCAGTTCTAAACCACCCTGTAGGTAGATATTCTACATTTTCTATCCACCCTGTACGTAGATATTCTACATTCTATCCACCCTGTATGTAGATATTTTACATTTTCTATCCACCCTGTAGGTAGATATTCTACATTTTCTATCCACCCTGTATGTAGATATTCTACACTTTCTATCCACCCTGTAAGTAGATATATTCTACATTCTATTCAATCCTGTTCTACATTTTCTATCTACCTTGTAAGTAGATATTTTACATTTTCTATCCACCTTGTAGGTAGATATTCTACATTTTCTATCCACCTTGTAGGTAGATATTCTACATTTTCTATCCATCTTGTAGGTAGATATTCTACATTTTCTATCAAATATGCAGAAAGCAATACAGTGAGTTGATTGAGCTCTTGAATAGCTTAAAGGCTGAAGTCTCGTAGGTCTAAAGTCTCGTAGGGCTGAAGTCTCGAAGGTCTGTAGTGTCGAAGGTCTGAAGTCTCGTAGGTCTGAAGTCTCGTAGGGCTAAAGTCTCGAAGGGCTTGGAATTCGCAATAAAAGCACTTTAAATGGAAGCCTTGGTTTCAAGGGATTTGAAAACTTTATTTTCCTCTGGATTAAATGTTTCTCAGTTATCCAAATTATACCAGCTTTAATGTGCATTGTGCAGGTATATAGCAAATAAAAAAGGAATAATGTGGGATCAATAAAATTGTGGGAATGGGAAGACGACATCTAAGAAATTGTGTATTTTTTTGAAAAATGTTTTAAGAAAAGCTTGAAAATCAATTCATTATGTTGTACATTTCAAAATTGATATGTTTCAAACGTTGATTTGACTTTATAAAATCATAATAGTCGTCTCCATATTCCACAGTTTTATGGGTTCAACTGTACCTGTAGATATAAGGAGCTTTGCAAGGAGAATTACTCCAACGATATTGTAACTCCTGATTTGAATAATCGCTCTTCAGAAACTTGTATGGTTTTGCCTATGTAACTACAGAACTATTAAAACTTGGCGAGGGAGTTTAGAAAATAAATCCAACCTAAAACCGAATCTGCATGTTCATTTTTCGTTAATCTAGTTCGCAGTTTGTGTTTCTTTCTCTTTGTGACTAATATTGTTTGAAATTCGCGTATATGTTTATTTGCAATCAAAGAATATTAATTTTTTGCGAAGTAAAAGTCAGCTAAAAACGTAGCAAAAAATTTGCTTAGCTACCTCCATGGAATGTATTTTCTGGAAAAGTTCAAATATTTTATTAAATTGAACACCGAACACAGCATCACAGTGCAAGGAAAGGAATTGTTTTCTGACTCCAGGGTTAACTTTAATAAATGGATGTTTATCTTAGGGTTGGGTCAAATTAAATTTGTTTCAGAGAGTCATGTCCGATTCACAATAATGCCATCTTCTGAACAAAAACATGAATATCATTATATCATTTAGCTCAAGCGAAGGTTTACAGGTGCTAATGTGAATCGGCATACATCACTCTAAATAAAGGGTTAGTTGAAGTCCCAGTTTTCTGAATCAATTTATTTATGAATATTGATATATGTATTATGTATGAGTAAAGGGTTTATCAAAAATATTGTCAGGTTAAAAATTTATTGAATAGTTTTAAAAGATAATTTTTTTTTTAATTAAGAAAGAGTAATCTGGCCTTTTCTTCGGCATTTACGCTAACTGGCATTAAGTGAATTTTGATTTGTCAAATAGATAGGAACCAACGTAAAACTCTTCAAACCTTTTTGTTCCAACCTGAATTTAAATATAAATATTGTGAGAGAATTATAAACAAAAAGAAAAAAACCTGCTGACATCATCTTCTTTATTTCCTTTCATCTGCATGTTTCTGAACCTACACAAAGAGAAACCAAGATTGGTTAAAACCAAGGAGTGAAACCTCTCTCTTAAGTCAATATTCATAATACAGAAGTACAGGGTTCCCCACAAAGACGAATCATTAAGAGGACCCTTAGCAGACAGTTTTCCATTCAGACAAAATTTAACCAGAACAAAATTTTGTTTATAGTTTATACAGAAATTGAACAAATGAGAAACCTCTAATATAAAGAAATGTGAAACCTCGGATTTAAAGAAATAAGAAACCTCTAGTATAAAGAAATGAGAAACCTCTAATATAAAGAAATAAAAAACCTGTAATATAAAGAAATGAGAAACCTCTATATAAAGAAATGAGAAACCTCTAAAATAAATAAATAAGAAACCTCTAATATAAATAAATAAGAAACCTCTAATATAAAGATATGAGACACCTCCAATATAAAGAAATGAGACACCTCCAATATAAAGAAATGAGAAACTCCAATATGAAGAAATAATAAACATCTAATATAAAGAATTAAGAAACCTCCAATGTAAAGAAATGAGAAACCTCTAATATAAAAAATGAGAAACCTCTAATATGAATAAATAAGAAACCTCTAATATAAAGAAATGAGAAATCTCTAATATAAATAAATAAGAAACCTCTATATGAAGAAATGAAAAACCTCTTATATAAATAAATAAGAAACCTCCAATATAAAGAAATGAGACACCTCCAATATGAAGAAATGAGAAACTCCAATATGAAGAAAAAAGAAACCTCTAATATAAAGAATTAAGAAACCTCCAATGTAAAGAAATGAGAAACCTCTAATATAAAAAATGAGAAACCTCTAATATGAATAAATAAGAAACCTCTAATATAAAGAAATGAGAAACCTCTAATATAAAGAAATGAGAAACCTCTAATATAAAGAAATGAGAAACCTCTAATATAAAGAAATGAGAAACCAGATGAAACAATATGCTTATATAATTTTTAATAAATAAATATTAATATATATATCTAGAATCATATGAAACACAATGACATAACTAATCAGCTCTTACCAATATTTTTATTAACAAATAGTTTAGTTATTTCTAGCCTAGCAACGAGGCTTCGTGAAAAAATCGAAATTTTTAAAACACATTTTTTTTAATTCTTACTGATGGTACCTGGGGCCATGTAAGGTCTTCAAAAAGTTTGAGTCTGATCGGTTCAGCTGTTTTTGGCATTTATTTCATACAAACAAACAAACAAGCTAATTTTAGATATTTAGGTGTTTTCTAGGGGTTATTTCCTAGATAACTTTCTCCATACACTTGTAACCAGAAATCAGTGAAATGAAATGAAAGTCGTCTTTTTTCTTTTTCTTTATCAGAAAATGTTGACAGGGATCTAATAACTGATTCTTTCTTAAAAATTGTCCTTTCAGTAAACATTAAAATTAGTTGAAATCACTTTAAACAATAAAATATTACAAAGTAAATGATATTCCTATTAAAAAAAGAAAAGCGAAACTTTTTTCAGAAATAAATAAGCAATATTTTGACATAAGTTTCTCGACTTTTCAGTGTTCCTATCTATAATAGCTAAATTTCAAGACTGTAATTAGATCTTTTTAGTCCATGGACAATTAAACCATGAATTAAATATGTGATATCATAATATTCTAATTCAACTAAATATATCTGCGTAAAGAATTAAATTTTGTAAAATACTTTGTCTAAAAAAACTATTTTATTACTATTTTTGAAATAGTCCCAGCGCTCGGCAACCTAATGTCCCCCAGCGCCGCAGCGCTTGCCAACATTTTAACCTTTTTTAAACATTTTTCTGATTAATTGACTTTGATTTTTGAAAAGTAGATTTGTAAAATTCTACGATCATAAAATTAATTTTCTTCAAAAAGAAAATTTTCTCTTTCCTTTGAAGAAATTATTCATATCTGTATGAGAAAATTATTGATTATGATTATATTACAAACAATAACTTTTGTTCTAAATTAAATATAACAGAATTATATTTAATTTTGGCTCGGATCTGTTTGAATTAGTTTCAACTCTTTGAATTGGCTTAGAATGTTGGTTTCATGAAACCTTCTCCTCACTGGAACAAATTTAATATCCTCAACAAATAGTTTGAGTTCAAAACATGCATCAATATTATTAATTGTTTAGTTACTCCTGACCCAGTAGAGAACTGTACAGTTATAAATAAATCTTCTGAGAGTTTTCATCTCCAGTGTTTACCAGGTTAGTTTTCTTTTACAGTGTTTACTAGGCTAGTTTTCATCTCCAATATTTACCAGATTAGTTTTCTTTTACAGTGTTTACCAGGTTAGTTTTCCTTTACAGTGTTTACTAGGTTAGTTTTCATCTCCAATATTAACCAGGTTAGTTTTCTTTTACAGTGTTTACCAGGTTAGTTTTCCTTTACAGTGTTTACCAGGTTAGTTTTCATCTCCAATACTAAACAGGTTAGTTTTTATCTCAAATGTTTACTAGGTTTGTTTTCCTTTACAGTGTTTACCAGGTTACTTTACATCTCCAATGTTTACCAGATTAGTTTTCCTTTTCAGTGTTTACCAGGTTCTTATTCCTTAACAGTGTTTACCAGGTTAGTTTCCCTTTACAGTGTTTACCAGATCAGTTTTCATCTCTAATGTTTACCAGGTTAGTTTTCCTTTACAGTGTATACCAGGTTCTTATTCCTTAACAGTGTTTACCAGGTTAGTTTCCCTTTACAGTGTTTACCAGGTTAGTTTTCCTTTACAGGGTTTACCAGGTTAGTTTTCCTTTACAGGGTTTGCCAGGTTAGTTTTCCTTTTACCAATAAATAACGCCCCTACGATAGCAACGTACCCCCTCTCTTGAAATCTTGAATTAACCCTGAAGTAACAAGCAATAAAGTGTTCTCCCGTAAAGTTATAAAGTTATATCTTCTTACTTACACAGACAATTTCATCTTTTTAAATATTTACGAAATATGATGTCTGCTGTCAAGAAAATATAAATAAAAAATGTTTAAAGATAAAAATGATTGAACACTCTAAATTGGCATTTTTAAGCAATAGCACTAAACTATCCTCTAACTGAGTTCTAAAGTGAAAAAAAATTGTCAGTGATACAGAAATAGTTTTGTTGAGAGGAGATATTAATTAGTTTTCTAAAAAGGTCTGAAGCCAGACCTTTTGTTTAGTGAATCTCGGGATTAAGCATTCATCTTAAGCAGATCTATGAATTAATTTAGATCATCTTCCATATCCCGTGATGGTCATACCCTACAGGGATAACTATAATTGATCCTCAAATTAAAAAATGCCCAAATTGGATATCAAGCTTTTAAGATTATCAATATCCGATCTCTGATAACTGAAGTATTAAGACACTTGCCAATGTACTTTTTGATTTTGCAATAAAATTAAATGCGCATTACACTTTGCACTACACTTTATATATTATACTTTTCACTTTATATTTTACATTTTACTTTTTTCATTTTACGCTTTAGACTTTACAAAAGTAACTATACACAGTAATCTACTCTTATCAAAGCTGAAAACTTTAGAATGGGATATCCTTAATCCCGATCTGTTAATTAATCTGGAGATTAAAAACAAGAGAAGAACAAGCAATATTTAATCTGGAGATTAATAAAAAGAGGAGATTAAGCAATGCTTTCGATATCCACCATTCAAAAGTTTTCAGCTCTGGAGATTAAAAACAAGATGAGAACAAGAAATATTTGATCTTGAGATTAAGAAAAAGAGGAGATCAAGCGTTATTTTTAAGGACTTTTTTTCTGATTACGTTTCGTTCAACTCCTGATTTTGGATCAAGTGGTATTATTCCCTTGCAATCCTTGCAACCTAGTTAAATGATAAACTTTATAGATTATGCTGTGCATTTTAAAGAAGGTTTATAGAACTACCTTCTCTTATGATATTAATAAATGTGTTTGGTGAAGAAAATAGTAAAATAAAAAAGGATACTTTTCCGGCCAGTCAGGGTAATAATATTCCTTTATATCCCGGTAAAGTAGTTGTAAACAAATATAATTGAAAGAACTTCTTTCATCTTTAATACAATATGATCTTTATTTTAGATTAACCAGATATCATGATTAAAATTTTAGCTTTTTCAAAATATAGATTTCAAATAGCAGCCAGTGGTGCAACTAGGGGGGGGGGAACCGAGTTTNTCCAACCGTAGGGTTAAAGATGGAGGGGGGGAAAGGGGGCATGATTCCCCTTGGTAGCTATGATCTCAGCGATCCAAAAAATCCTTGAATTGCTGATCGTAAAAGATCAACAAAACTCGCCCACTGTTACATTATGACGAAAAAATATGGCGACTTGAAAACTAAACATTTTAAAGCTAAACTTGTTCTTACAGTAGAGGGCGCTGAGCGATCTGAAAGCCTACTTTATAATATACTCGCTTGGGAACCTAACGCTGCACAGGGTACTAAAGTTACTCCCACAGTTTACCCGCAATTTAACGATTTTACCTGGAAACTAAAACTATTAAAGCTGACCCACTCAACTTAGAGTCTCAAAACCAAGCTAATACCATTCCCGTGGGTCTCCCAAATTCCCCTATCAAAATTTGAGGCAAATCGGCCCAGGGGTTTTTGAGTTATGATCTGATAAACAAACAGACAAACAGAGATTACAAATTTATATATTGATATATATAGATATATGTATTTTTTAGGATTTGACGGTGGTATGAACCAAACCTTCCATATAACTGTGAAGGAACGTGAGAACGGGATTGTTATGTACGATGATTCAAATCTTCTCAAGGTTTAGCATTCATAATCTTTATTATAAATACTTATTTTTAGTCTGTGAAACCTTTACTCTCTTTTCAGATCCAATTAATCCTTTATTTCTTAGTTCTATTTTTAATCCTTAAAATTTATTTTTCATTCAATCTTAATTCCAAAATATTTATTTAGAACCCTTAAATCCAAAAAAAATCGTTTTTTTCCATAATCACAAAATGGTATTCTTATTCGATCTCACAATTCAATTTTAGCAAGAATTATTTGAAATTTTTTTATTCTGAAAATTGTATTGTAAATTCCAAATACCTCTAACAAAACCAAATACTCACACTCAGGTATATACTGCCTTCAAATATTTTTGTTAGCAATTTATCCTTATTCATCTAATTTATCCTTATTCATCTAATCCTCCAATTTATCCTTACTTATCTAATCCTCCAATTTATCCTTATTAATCTAATCCTCCAATTTATCCTTATTCATCTAATCCTCCAATTTATCCTTATTTATCTAATCCTCCAATTTATCCTTATTTATCTAATCCTCCAATTTATCCTTATTTATCTAATCCTCCAATTTATTCTTATTTATCTAATCCTCCAATTTATCCTTATTTATCTAATCCTCCAATTTATCCTTATTCATCTAATCCTCCAACTCATCTTATTTATTTTTTTCTTCTTTATTCTTCAGAATAGACACCAGGAATTATAGATTACTATTTTTCCACTAAAATAATTTGTTGTAGATGTATTGAGCGGGAGCCTTATTGGTTATTGCCTAGTATTGATTAATTGATTGTAGAAAATATAGAAAAACCAACCAGACACTAGATGCTTCTAAATGTTTAATCTTAGATACATATTTTCGATAACAGTTGGGTAAACTAACAGTTGGGTTAATTAACATTTATGTAAACTAACCTATGGGTAAACTAACTTTTGGGTTAACCAACAGTTGGGTAAACTGAGAGTTGGGTAAAATAACAGTTTGGTAAACTAACAGTTGGGTGAACTAACAGTTAGTTAAACTTACAGATGGGTAAACTAATAGTTGGATAAACTAACATTTGGGTAAACTAACAGTTGGGTAAACTAACTGTTGGGTGAACTAACAGTTAGTTAAACTTACAGATGGGTAAACTAACAGTTGGATAAACTAACAATTGGGTAAACTAACAGTTGGATAAACTAACAATTGGGTGAACTAACAATTGGGTAAACTAACAGCTGAGTAAACTAACATTTGGGCAAACTAACATTTGAGTAAACTAACAGTTGGGTAAACTAACAGCTGGGTAAACTAACAGCTGGGTAAACTAACAGCTGGGTAAATTTACAGTTGGGTGAGCCAACAGCTGGATAAACTAACAGCTGGGTAAATGAACATTTGGGTAAACTAACAGTTGGGTAAACTAACTGTTGGGTGAACTAACAGTTATTTAAACTTACAGATGGGTAAACTAACAGTTGGATAAACTAACAATTGGGTAAACTAACAGTTGGATAAATAACAATTGGGTGAACTAACAATTGGGTAAACTAAAAGCTGAGTAAACTAACATTTGGGCAAACTAACATTTGAGTAAACTAACAGTTGGGTAAACTTACAGCTGGGTAAACTAACAGCTGGATAAATGAACAGTTGGGTAAACCAACAGCTGGGTAAACTAGCAGTTCACAGTAAACTAAAATTTGGGTAAACAAACAGTTGAAAAGTTAATATTTAAGCTACTGATTAAACCATTTGCTTTAAAACAACATCAAATACAGATAGGATTGCGTTAATTGTGTTCTTCTATTTCACAGTTTTATAGGTCTCCTTCTATTATATTTTACTATCCTCCCCTACTCTATGGTATTTTGATTAATGAAATCTGATCTAGCCTGACGTAAATATCCAACACCTGAAACCTGGAGGAAACTATCTTGTATCTGTGACCAGCTATAACAAGAAGGGAACCAGTCAACCCAACCATATAGATATTGAAACTATGCAACCTCCAGAGTCTCAGCAGGTGGAGGTGTTCCCAGTTGAGGAGGAGAAGGACGTATCCTGGCAGGTCGGAGCTGGAGTTATAGCTGGGATATTTCTCTGTATCATGGTTGCTACAGGTAATTATCAATATTTCACCTGATGATGAGAAATAAATAAGATCTTGGGGTTTTATAGGGGGTAAAGAATATAGATAGGTTTACAGGGGGTAAAGAATATAGATGGGTTTACTGGGGGTAAAGAATATAGATAGGTTTACAGGGGGTAAAGAATATAGATAGGTTTACAGGGGGTAAAGAATATAGATAGGTTTACAGGGGGTAAAGAATATAGATAGGTTTACAGGGGGTAAAGAATATGATAGGTTTACAGGGGGTAAAGAATATAGATGGGTTTACAGCGGGTAAAGAATATAGATGGGTTTACAGGGGGTAAAGAATATAGATAGGTTTACAGGGGGTAAAGAATATAGATGGGTTTACAGGGGATATAGAAAATAGATGGGTTTACAGGGGGTAAAGAATATAGATAGGTTTTGTAAATATGTCGAATTGTTAATTGACACCTTCATGCGTCACCTGCATCGCCTATACACTAGATCAGCTGGAGTAATATTAGGATAGTTTTAATAGAAATATGAATAAAATATCTTTACATTTTCCACTTATTTAAGAATTTACTTGAATTCTGCGGAAAGAATATAAATATATTATTTTTTTCAAGTTTAAACTTTACCCACGTTCTTTTCAGTTCTGATACTCTCAGTTCAGAGACATTGCCGAAAACCAAGCCAGGGAGATACTCGGCTTATCCTGGATACTGCAGAGACACATCTAGCATCTAGTTCCACCTGCTCCAACATTATCATCTGCTCCAGTCCGTCTCATCCTAACCTACACAGGACGGACTGTACCCTGATTAGAGAAAGGTTTTGTAACTCCAGGGATCCTGGGGAACTTGGATTGAGTCCGAGCAGAAGTTTAATCTCTGAGGAGAATGCATCAGGACAGACAATTCAAAGGAAAACAGTGCAATCTTAGTCTTTCATCGTCAGTTATATCATTCAGTTCGAATCCTCAATATAATAAGTTCATTTCTCAATATAATCAGTTCATTTCTCAATATAATCAGTTCATTCCTCAATATAATCAGTTCATTTCTCAATATTTTTCAATTCTATCTCTAGACAAGGGTTAAATTCTGGTTCTATTTCTAAGCAAGGGTTTGCTTTCTGGTTCTATCTCTAGGCAAAGGTTTTAATTCTGGTTCTATCTCTTGGCAAGGGTTTGTATTCTGGTTCTATCTCTAAGCAAGGGTCTGTATTCTGGTTTTATCTCTAAGCAAGGGTTTAAATGCTGTTTCTATTTCTAGGCAAGGGTTTAAATTCTGTTTTTATTTATAGGCAAGGGTTTAAATTCTGGTTCTATTTCTAGACAAGGGCTTAAATTCTGGTTCTATCTCTAGGCAAGGTTTAAATTCTGGTTCTAGCTCTAGGCAAGGGTTAAATTCTGGTTTTATCTCTAGGCAAGGGTTAAATTCTGGTTCTATTTCTAAGCAAGGGTTTGCTTTCTGGTTCTATCGCTAGGCAAAGGTTTTAATTCTGGTTCTATCTCTTGGCAAGGGTTTGTACTCTGGTTCTATCTATAAGCAAGGGTTTAAATTCTGTTTCTATTTCTAGGCACGGGTTTAAATTCTGTTTCTATTTATAGGCAAGGGTTTAAATTCTGGTTCTATTTCTAGGCAAGAGTTTAAATTTTGGTTCTATTTCTAGGCAAGGTTTAAATTCTGGTTCTATTTCTAGACAAGGGTTTAAATTCTTGTTCTACCTCTAGGCAAGGGTTTCAATTCTGGTTCTATCTCTAGGCAAGGGTTTCAATTTTGGTTCTATCTCTCTGCAAGGGTTTAAATTCTAGATCTATTTCTAGACAAGGGTTTAAATTCTGGTTCTAGCTCTAGGCAAGGGTTTCAATTCTGGTTCTAGCTCTAGGCAAGGGTTTGTATTCTGGTTCTATCCCTAAGCAAGGGTTTAAATTTTGTTTCTATTTCTAGGCAAGGGTTTAAATTCTGGTTCTATCTCTAGGCAAGAATTTGTATTCTGGTTCTATCTCTAGGCAAGGGTTTAAATTCTGCTTCTATCTCTAGACAAGGGTTAAATTCTAGTTCTATCTGTATTTAGAATTCAGTTTGAAATCTTGATGACTTCTCAGCTCTATGTAGAGATTGAATGAACTTGGATTGAGTCCGAGCAGAAGTTTAATCTCTGAGGAGAATGCATCAGGACAGACAATTCAAAGGAAAACAGTGCAATCTTAGTCTTTCATAGTCAGTTATATCATTCACTTCATTCCTCAATATAATCAGTTCATTTCTCAATATAATCAGTTAATCCCTAATATAATCAGTTCATTCCTTAATATAATCAGTTCATTTCTCAATATGATAAGTTCATTTCTCAATATAATCAGTTCATTTCTCAATATAATCAGTTCATTCTTCAATATAGTCAGTTCATTCCTCTTTATAAGCAAGTTTACTATTCAATATAATCAGTTCATTCTTCAATATAATCAGCTCATTTCTCAATATAATCAGTTCATTCCTCAATATATTCAGTTCATTCTTCAATATAATCAGTTTATTCTTCAATATTATCAGTTCATTCTTCAATATAGTCAGTTCATTCCTCTTTAAATGCAAGGTCATTCTTCAATATAATCAGCTCATTTCTCAAAATAATCAGTTCATTCCTCAATATGATCAGTTCATTTCTCAATATAATCAGTTCATTCCTCAATATAATTAGTTCATTCCTCAATATAATCAGTTCATTCTTCAATATAATCAGTTCATTCTACAATATAATCAGTTCATTCCTCAATGTAATCAGTTCATTCCTCAATCAGTTCATCCTTCAATATAATCAGTTCATTCCTCAATATAATCAGTTCATTCCTCAATATCATCAGTTCAAATTCTTCAATATTTTTCAATTCTATCTCTTGGCAAGGATTTTAATTCTGGTTCTATCTCTAGGCAGGGGTTTAAATTCTGGTTTTACCTCTAGGCAAGAGTTTTTATTTTGGTTCTATCTCTAGGCAAGGGTTTAAATTCTGGTTATATCTCTAGGCAAGGGTTTGCTTTCTGGTTCTATCTCTAGGCAATGGTTTTAATTCTGGTTCTATCTCTAGGCAAAAGGTTAAATTCTGGTTCTATCTCTATGCAAGGCTTTAAATTCTGGTTCTATTTCTAAGCAAGGGTTAAATTTTGGCTCTATCTCTATGCAAGGGTTTAAATTCTGGTTCTATTTCTAGACAAGGGTTTAAATTCTGGTTCTACCTCTAGGCAAGGGTTTCAATTCTGGTTCTATCTCTAGGCAAGGGTGTGTATTCTGGTTCTATCTCTAAGCAAGGGTTTAAATACTGTTTTAATTCTAGGCAAGGGTTTAAATTCATTTGTTCCATCTCTAGGCAAGGGTTAAATTCTGGTTCTATCTCTAGGCAAGGGTTTAAATTCTGGTTCTATTTCTAGGCAAGGGTTAAATTCTGGTTCTTTCTCTAGGCAAGGGTTTAAATTCTGGTTCTATCTCTAGGCAAGGGTTAAATTCTGGTTCTATCTCTAGGCAAAGGTTTTAGTTCTGGTTCTATCTCTAAGAAAGGGTTTAAATTCTGTTTCTATCTCTATGCAAGGGTTTAAATTCTGTTTCTATTTCTAGGCAAGGGTTAAATACTGGTTCTATCTCTAGGCAAGGGTTAAATTCTGGTTCTATCTCTATGCAAGGGTTTGTATTCTGGTTCTATTTCTAGGCAAGGGTTTAAGTTCTGGTTCTATCTCTAGACAAGGGTTAAATTCTAGTTCTATCTGTATTTAGAATTCAGTTTGAAATCTTGATGACTTCTCAGCTCTATGTAGAGATTGAACTAAGGATTGATTAGGTTATAAATTAAGTTTAGAATATCTTAGATTAGAAAACAGTGTATTCATGGTTCAATATTATATATGTTCTCTCTAGGAGAATGTATACTGCAACAATTCCCAGGTTTAGGTTGAAACCAACCCTCAGGGGAAACCCAGAGAGTCAGTGGTAATCTCTTACTCGGGCTATATAATTTATAACTAGATTTTAGAAACAATTTCTTTTATATGGGACTAGGGGGGGGGGTGCAAATTCGTCATTGCACCCCTCTTTCAGAAGAAAGGGGGGTGCACCTGCACCCTTGCACCCACCCCTGGCTACGGGCCTGTAGACTAGGGTACTCATGCCTTGGGTTCCCTAAAAAATTCAGCAAATTTGTTCCGGCCGTTTGGCCAGTTATAGCTGACATATATGAGTGAAGAGCTCTATTATATAGATGAAAAAATGGAGATTTGTAGAATCACCAATGCATGAGACAAATTCCTGAAGGACTATTTCCTGCAGGACAATGTCCGGGAACCACGAAAACGGTTAAACTATTTTATGAAGTTCACAGAGATAAGTGACACCTTTTGAATACACAAAGCTAATCGGTTTCAAAGAGTTAAGCTTCTTTTGAACTTAATTTCTCATCTCTGCATTAATAAAATCTCCTAGCTTCTAATCATGCTCACTCCCTAGCTCTCAATTATCCTAATTATTTATGATCTTGTATGTTAAAGGGAGTGTTCGCGAAAAATGAAAGGGGGTATAGGCTTAATGCGATAAAAAAGCGCTTTTGATCGCTACTAATCTTACTTCTAGCTGTTGAGTCTATAAGGAGAAAATTGTTAAAAAGGACTAATACCGAAGAACCTAGTGTCTATACAAATTCAGAAAGATGCAACATACGACTTAGACCGTAAAAAAATCTATTTAATTTCAAATAAATCATTCAGATATTACAACCTACAGTCATCAATTATCTTTCGCCACATTTGTATATAGTTGATTTTTCATAGTATGTTTTGATTTTATTTTTTAAAATAATATTTAGCTTACAACTTGTTTTCGAACATTCCTAGAAAATATTAAAATGTCGTCTTCATTACCAAAAATCTTCGAAACAGGAATAAATGTTTTTATAAGTAACTCTCAGATCATAACAATTAAAACATATTATGAAAAATCAACTATATATACAAATGTGGCGAAAGATAATCGATGACTATAGGTTGAATATCTGAATGCTTTGTTTGAAACTAAATAGATTTTTTACGGTCTAAATCGTATGTTGCATCTTTCTGAATTTGTATGGACACTTCGTTCTTCGGTATTTGTCGTTTTTAACAATTTTCTCCTTATAGACGCAACAGATTCCCTTATAATCCACTGAAATACTTGAAATTATATCGACAAATCCTTATATTCCACTGAAATACTTGAAATTATATCGACAGCCCCTTATAATCCACTGAAATACTTGAAATTACATCGACAGCTCCTTATATTCCACTGAAATACTTGAAATTACATCGACAGACCCTAATAAGCCACTGAAATACCTAAAATTGCATCGACAGCCCCTTATAATCCACTGAAATACTTGAAATTACATCGACAGCTCCTTATAATCCACTGAAATACTTGAAGAAATGATACTAAGGAAGATTTAACATTTTTATGTTTGAAAGAATTAATGTTTAATTTGGTTCAACCGTTTTAGAGTTTATAGTTTCTTAGACAAATATAAAACTAAATAAACAAGAATACAACGAATTATTTTTTTTTTTAAAGTGGATTTCTTGAGAAAAAAATTTATTTTAAAGTTCAAAAGAAAAGAAAAAAGATGTTTTAAAAAATCTACATGTTGTAATGATTTTGTCAGTATTTTCTGCAAAAAGTCCATAAATATTAACTTTTTCTAATTTTTCTCTTGAAATGAATTAAGCTGTGATGCTGAGAGCAGAATGGGATTTTTATAGCCAATTATGTTCGCACAGTTTTTGGTAAAAAGTTATATCAAGATGGGATATAAATTTCAAAATTTCTTCTTTCTTCTTCCACATCGTCTTCCCTCATTTTTATGTAGAAAGGGGAGGAGTTGGGGGTAAACTAATAAAAGAATAGAATTGCTAACTTTTTTTTCTTTCTTTTCTTAAATTTTGAAAAATCATGGTTCATCAAAATTTGTTGTCAAACATCTGCCCATGCAAATAAACCTTTATTAGACCAAGGTATGAATTAAAGTAGAGAGAAGCATCAACATTAAATAGAATTGGGTTACATAGCGAAGGTTCACTCACTTTTAAACAAGGACTATATGAAACAATGTGATTCTTTTCTTAAAGATGCGTTGAACCACTGCTAAACAGTTGATATGATACATTACACACCTTAATAGAAATTTTAGCAAGGTTTTTTACTTTGCAAACCTTTACTTTATTAAAGAATTTTGTAATTTTCAGATTTCAAGAAAGAATCATTCTTGACACATGAATTAAAAAAACATAATTTGAAACCTTTCACACTATGGCATTTAAGCATTCTCTAGCTTGTAAGTAACAGTTCTAAATATTCTGGTATACCCCATCAGCACTTCTAAACAATCTGGTATACATTTTAAAAGTTCTATATAATCTGGTATCCCCTGGAAGCAGTTCTAAATATTCTGGTATGCCCTGTCAGCAGTTTTAAATATTCTGGTATAATCTCTCAGCAGTTTTAAATATTCTGGTATAATCTGTCAGCAGTTCCAAATATACTGGTTTACACTGTCAGCAGTTCTAAAAACTCTGGTATAATCTGTCAGCAGTTATAATATTCTGGTATAATCTGTCAACAGTTCTTAATATTCTGGTATACTCTGTCAGCAGTCTAAATGGTGCACATACGAAACATATCATCACCAAACATATCCCGACGAAACATATTGAATATTGAATATTGCAATGTAAGGTGTAGGAAGGGTATCTTGAAGAGGAATCAGGATTGTGATAGTTCTAGACAAGATCAAGCTACATGTATTAGACAAGATCAAGCAACTACAAATATAATGGAAGATCCTCTTTACACTGTTGGTAAGTAAATACTTCATAACTACAGTTGTACAGTGTACAGTTGTACAGTTGTACAGTTGTACAGTTGTACAGTTGTACAGTTTTACAGTTGTACAGTTGTACATTCGTACAGTTGTACAGTTGTACAGTTTCATATATTTTATTTTTCAGCTTTTTTAATTGTTCTACAATTTCTGAACTGGTTTTCAAATTTAGAAATATTTTGAAAATATTATTGATATAAATAGAATAGAGTTTTCTTATTCTCAGATATATAATGTGTTTCAACTGTTCTGCCATATTTGTTCTTAAAAAGGGAAACCAATTAAAGTTTGTTAGAGTGTTAGTGTATGGAGTAAACAAGCTCAAGTTAAACCTGTCTTTAGTTTAGTTTCTCATCAGAGGAAGTGTTCACAGATTTGGAAAAAGATTATTTTTGGAACTTTTTGTCTGTACAATTTAGATCGTCGCTCAAAGAAAAAAAAACATATTTAAATTTGGAATAATCTCGATTAAAAAATACCTAACCTTGGACCATCTCGTTCCGGTTCAACTTTTGGAACAATATATCCAAGATTTCAACCCTTAAAACCCTTAATTTTTTTTTTGACAATTTAAGCCATAAGAGGTTCTTTGATTACATCAAAAAACATTTTCGACACGTTTTTATGTTAACGTACTGCTGATGAAACTATGATATATTGAAGTAAATAAATCTATATGAGAGCGCTAATGTATTGGACAGTATGGTGCTGCAAGGATTTAAAAGCTGAGCTGAGTAAGTCTAGGAATAAAAGACCGGAATGGTTTACAATAAATCTTAAAACTTGTTCTAAGCTTCCTTTTCAAGGAAAAAAATATATTTAAAATAAACTAATCTAGAGAGCTTGAGTTTGCAGCCTAGAGCTGGATCTAGAAACACCAGAACACCAGAGATTAGAACTTATATTTAAACTAATCTAGAGAGCTTGAGTTTGCAGCCTAGAGCTGGATCTAGAAACACCAGAACACCAGAGATTGGAACTATTCAGTGTTTACCGGTAAATATACATTATATGTGCTTGGGCAGTCCAGTACCCAGCGTTGCCTGTGTACTTGCATTTTCAAAATTTTTTATTTATTTTCAAAATTATTTTTAGTGTACTTTCATCTTTCTTTGAAACTACAAAAGAAATATGCAAAATTCTGATGCATTATGAAAAAGTTTTTTTTCGTATTTAAATTTGATTAAATTTTTTAATGCAATCATCGTATTTCAAAAAGAACTTGGATTCTTTGTGACTTTTTTACATGATATTCTTCATGCAAAGTTTAAGGTTCAAAAATAACTTCCACTAAATTTTAATAAAGTTTAAACAAGAAGATATTATTATTTAAATCGATCAAAATATAACTTTGAGGATAAAAGTCAAAAGTTAAAGACAGCCTTGAAATGTTTAACATAAAGCATGCTAAACATCTATCACACAGGTCTGCCGCTTTAGTAATTGTAAATTGGCGGTATAGTCCAAACTAGGACCGCAAAGGTTGGCCCAGCTCGGATATTCAAATGTACACCGGTTGTGTGTGCTATATAGGAACTATGACAAAATGTGCGTAATATTTCTAAATATTATTATATTTGTACTATGAAGTCAGGTTTATGTCAAATCTTTGCTGAGATCTGATTATGGAGGATATTGCTGACTTTCAAGGGATTTTACTTTTGTTCTGAGATATATATTCGATCTGAAAATATACAAATATAAATAAATAAATATAGAATCCGATTCCTCGGATTTCAGAACATTTATATTTACCGTTTACTACACCAAGGGAATAAATAATCCAAAATATTGAAAATCTGCGGATTTCTTAAATTTCAAAGTTCAAATGTTCTTCCAGATTTAATTTTTTATTTTGTAGGTGAGATGTGAAAAGGATGGACTGCTCACAATGCGTCGGAAAACAAGTGGACATTTTCAATCCCCTGAACATGTTGAAAGTTGTATTGAGTGCTCGGATGATGAGAATACGAGCTCAATTGTATCTTCTTATCCACGTGAAATATCCTCAAACCTAAACACAGATATATCAACATGCTCTCACTCCTTGAAGAGAAAGAAACAAGAGAGTATGGTCTAGGAGAAGAGTCTGGTCTATGAGAAGGGTATGGTCTAGGAGAAGAGTCTGGTCTATGAGAAGAGTTTGGTCGATGAGAAGAGTTTGGTCTAGGAGAAGAGTATGGTCTAGAAGAAGAGTATGGTCTAGGAGAAGAGTTTGGTTTAGGAGAAAAGTATGGTCTAGGAGAAGAGTTTTAGTATGGTCTAGGAGAAGGGTATGAACTAGGAGTAAAGTATGGTCTAGGAGAAGAGTATGGTCTAGGAGAAGAGTATGGTCTAGGAGTAGAGTATGGTCTAGGAGAAAAGTATGGTCTAGGAGAAGAGTATGGTCTAGGAGAAGAGTATATTCTAGGAGTAGAGTATGGTCTAGGAGTAGAGTATGGTCTAGGAGAAGAATATGGTCTAGGAGAAGAGTATGGTCTAGGAGAAGAGTATGTTCTAGGAGTAGAGTATGGTCTAGGAGTAAAGTATGGTCTAGGAGAAGAGTATGGTCTAGGAGTAGAGTATGGTCTAGGAGAAGAGTATGGTCTAGGAGTAGAGTATGGTCTAGAAGAAGAGTATGGTCTAGGAGAAGAGTGGTCTAGGAGAAGAGTATGGTCTAGGAGAAGAGTATGGTCTAGGAAAAAAGTGTGGTCTAGGCGAAGAGTATGGTCTAGGAGAAGAGTATGGTCTAGGAGAAAATCATAGTAAGAAAAAACTGTGCTAAAACCAGTGATATGTTTACTGTACAGTGTACAGTATTGCGATACAGTTTGAATAAATTATGTGCATTTATATTTGAATATGTATGAAGTGTGATGAATGCAGCAGAACTAAACTTGACAATTATTAGTTTTTTATTGTGAGCTTAGAACCAGGAGCAAACTTTCCAAACATTTATATTTTTATCATTTTCTTATTTTACCAATATCGACTAAATTCAAAATACACAAAAAATAGATTGCATAATTTAAAGGAGAACAGAGTTAGTTTTAATCTTTGAAATCTGTGTGGAGTTGGAACAAATTTTAAGATTTGTTTTTAGAGCCTAAACAGAATGCCACCCCCCCCCCTCTAGTTTTTTGTCCTAGCACTCTCATTTTTGACATTATAACCTTGATTTTTTTTTACTTTTAGTGATTAGTACAGGACGGTAATAAGGCCGGTCAGTGTTTAATACAAAATTAAAATATCCCATTTTTGTTATTTAAGCCACGATCTAAAAAATACATATTTTGAAAGTCGTTAAAAATGTATGTAAAAACATGTGTCATATCTAAATATTTGTCAAAAACCTACAGGTTATACTATACATGGATTCAGGCGTCAAACCTTATAGAAATCCAACGTATAGAAACCGCTACGTATAGCAACAAGGCATATTTTCCGGGAGAAATTTTTTTTATATTTTTGAGAAATTAAATAATCAGTGTAAAGTAGATATAATTTTCATAAAATCCTTTTATTTAAAAGTAAAATGGTAAAACGGAATTTTATGAAATCATATTTGCATTACTGGAGAACTTTTTTTTACACTTTTAAGAATTTTTTTTTTTCTAAAATAAAACTGTAGATAGCATTTTTATAAAATAGTAACACGCAATTTTATGTATAACCATATAATCATTCATTTATGTTGTCAGTACATAATAAAATCTGGGGGACCTTAAACACAATAGAGAGCAGTACAATTGTACGTATTAAATTATTTTGCTCCTTTAATGTCTATAGGGTATGTTAAAAAAATAGAAATTATGATAATGATAATGATAGCTACAATGTTTACAAAAACGTTTAATTTCTCAAAAATATAAAAAATGTTCTCCCGGAAAATACGTCTTGTTGCTTGTTGCTACGTGGTTTCTATACGTTGGATTTCTATAAGGTTTGACTTCATAGATTCAGATTTATGTGTTTATGAGTTTCAGGTTTCGGAATAGATTTAAAGATTGTGTTTTAGGATCCCTTCCATAGCCGAAAACAAAATTAGAAAATTTTATAAATCAAAATTTTAACAGAAGATCGTTTCTTAATATGATCCCTAACTGTTTTCAAGACAATGCAAGGTTTTCCATTTTAGAATCTTGGTCTCGTTTCAGGGACGAATACAGGGGGGGGGCGACAGGACCTTTGCCCCCCCCTGAGATTTCAGAATTGCTTCTCAAAAGCACTTCAGGGAAAGAAAACTTATTGCAAAACAGAAAAATATATCTTAAACAAAATTTTCGCCTGGTTCCTAAATCTGGATTTTTTGTTCCTAAAAAAATTTAGCAACCCTCTCACTTAGATCCTGTATCCATCCTGTTCTCGTTTTGAGCAAAAATTTACCGAAAAGAACACATACCATACTAAAAATGGAAAACTGTTTTTTGAAAATCTTAAAATGCAAATCATATTTTGAAAATATGTTTTCCTATTAGACTAAAAAATAAACTCACGAAAATAATTTCGGAATAAATGTTCGTAATTTTTCGTGCGATATAATGAACAAAATGTGTGGGGTATTGAACAAAATGTTCGGGATATTTAACAAAATGTTTGGGGTATTAAACAAAATGTGTGTTGTATTCAACTGTTAATCATTGAATTTCCACATCTCTCCAGGGTTACCCACAAAGGATGAGATTTTAATGACGACCTTAATTTCCTTAAATATAATGATCTGACTGTTTATCTTGAAAATCTGCCCTTAAAAAAGTCTTTAATTGATGTATTCAATAATTTGCCAAAAAAAAACGAGTTTAAACTTACAAGAG